TTTTTGCTACTTGGCACAGCCCCTTCCTTTTCGCCCTTTGATTTACGCGTGTAGCACTGTGTAGCATTTAATTTGTGCACAAGTCAATGGTGTAGCACTTTTTTGCTACTGGCCACGGCCCCTTCCTTTTCGCCCTTTGATTTACAGGTGTAGCACTGTGTAGCATTTAATTTGTGCACAAGTCAATGGTGTAGCACTTTTTTGCTACTGGCCACGGCCCCTTCCTTTTCGCCCTTTGATTTACGCGTGTAGCACTGTGTAGCATTTAATTTGTGCACAAGTCAATGGTGTAGCACTTTTTTGCTACTTGGCACAGCCCCTTCCTTTTCGCCCTTTCATTTATTTCACGTGTAGCACTGTGTAGCATTTAATTTGTGCACAAGTCAATGGTGTAGCACTTTTTTGCTACTTGCCACGGCCCCTTCCTTTTCGCCCTTTGATTTACGCGTGTAGCACTGTGTAGCATTTCATTTGTGCACAAGTCAATGGTGTAGCATATATTTTGCTACTTTGCACGGCCAATTCCTTTTTGCCCTTTTCTTGTAACTTGCCAAGTTGCCAAGCGTTGGTGCGTTCTCCCTTGTCTGGTTCTTTGACCTGAAGGTGGCTCATGCCCATTCGAATAAAAGCATCAAGGCATCACCTGACTAACTGTTTCCTGTAGCATGTAGCACTGCTACACACACAGGCCTTGAATTCAATTGTCTCAAAACTTGCTGGGTATAAGGTGATATATGATGAAACAAATTGGCATCAGGATGCAACATTCTTTCTGAACAGACCATTCTCTACCTGTGGAAGTTTTACCCCATATTAAATTGCCCTCATAAAACAAAACCTTGGTTTTTTTTTCTAAAAAAAGAACAAGCCTGTTAATAATTGCTAATAATATTTAACATGGTAGCCTACTGGTATCTTAGTGAACGATATTAATGTTAAGTGAGTCCACAAACATGACATAACAGTGACTTTTCCTGCTGGTCATGCTGGTACTATGGTCTGATGGTACTAGTATCGGGGGTCAAACAAGTCGACCGTTGAGACAACTCGACTCGGGACAAGTCGACCGTTGAGACAACTCAACCGTTGAGACAACTTGACCGTATGTGCGATAAATGGAAAGACAAGTCGACCGTTGAGACAAGTCGCCTCGCATGTTTTTGGGCCTAGTTTTGGGGATAGTACCGGGGATTTTTGACGGCGGCTGATCGCCGTTTGGGAGTGATGACACATGAGGTTTTTTTGTTGCATATAACAGAGCCGATATAGCGCAGCGTGATTGTTTTTGCCGGGCCTGTGCGCCCACTTGCCGCGCCGGTTGACATGCCCGCGTGCCGGGCCGGGCCCGATCCTCGATCGCGGGCAGGGCGCGCCGGCCCAACGCGACGGCCACCGGATCGGATCGCCCTCTGTGCATCGAGTATGCCCGCGCCGCGCCCGGTCCTGCCACAGATTTTTGCAACTTTTTCCGCTCCACGTGTATACATTTCCATTAAGTCGAGCTGTCTCAACGGTCGAGTTGTCCCGAGTCGAGTTGTCTCAACGGTCGACTTGTCTCAACGGTCGACTTGTCTCAACGGTCGACTTGTCCCGAGTCGAGTTGTCTCAATGGTCGACTTGTCTGACATTCTAGCCTCATTCAATCATCACCAACCATGCCAACTATTTTAATTAGGAATTTAGCATGTTTAGCATGTTTAGGCGAGTCCCGAAACATGAAAGTGTGTTTTCGTTCTCTTTATGTTATGAAATAGGGTCCTAAACTACACTTTAACTCAAATTTTAAACCCTTTTTCCATTGGTTTTACTTGGTCCATGCCTTGGTCCATGGTCCCAGAAAGCAGTCCAGCATCTGGACCCCTGCGAGCATGGCGAGGCTGTCACGCCCCAACTATCGCATCGGTCCCAACTATAGTTGGGCCTGTCCCAACTATAGTTGGGACAGGCCCAACTGTAGTTCCACAGTTGGGCTGGCCCAACTATAGTTGGGCCTGTCCCAACTATAGTTGGGACGGTCCCAACTGTAAGTTCCATTGTTGGGCTGGCCCATCTATAGTTGGGCCACTCCGATCTGTTTATTTTGCGGTGTCCCAACTATAGTTTACATTGATGTACAACCATAAAACGTTCCCTACAGCTCTGATACACGTCTGACTTTACTGGGGACCACTGAAATTAGCTATTGATGGGGCGAATCTATAGTTGGGCCATCCCAATCTTTTTATTTTGCGGTCCCAACTATAGTGTACATTGTTGTACGATTATAAAACATTCACTCACAGTGCATGGAGGAAGGAATACATGATAGGGCCTACACACTAACCTTGAAATTTGACGATGGCGAGTGGGTCGATTTTGCCGAACTTTTCGATGTTGGGTAAGTTGGTAGCATTCGACACAATCACCATCAGCGACATGTTGATGCTATGATGAGATGGCACCCGGGGCCATGCGCTATACTCGGTGAAAAGTAGAGCTCTACCTTCGAGGAGAAAACGCCGACTTGGCGAAGAAGTTGGACAGGTGCTGGCACCTACACCGTACCAGTACCAGTAAAGAGTGCACACTACTGTCACTAGTATTAGTAATGAATTTGCGCCGCACCCAGCTAGCTGCCTCGCCCACGCACGCGCACTCCCGCCGGCTGGGGATTAAATGATTGCATACAGAATGATTTGTGGTTAACTTTTTAATAGTGCGCCCTCGCTACCGCTCAATTTATATTATGGGCATTTTCCCTTAACGTTTTAGGAATTTTTAACTGTAACAATCCAAGGGAAAAACTCATGGCTGAATTTGATCTTTTCCTTTGATCTTAGGAAAAGTCGCTTAATTTCATTTATCATGTTTAAAGGGCTCATGCAATGTAATTTTTAAAATGCAATCTTTGAAAATGCATGTCACATTTAACCATATTTTCAATTTTCGTTTTGCTATTTTCTAGGGTACTTTGGTGCCTTTTTGGTTTTTATGCTGATAAAAATTTTCATATTCATGAGCAAAAGTGATGTCATTTCAGGCAGAAACCTCAATGTAACAGCCATTTCGGCACCAAGAGTTGATAGAATTTTGGATATTTTGCTGTAAATAATCTTTTCTTTGGTGATTCGAAGTTGTTAGTACATGTTGGTAAGTTTTCTCACAAATGTTTCAAACAAATAAAATAATGTTTGGGTTCACAAACAATATATATGAACAGAAAACCCAAACTGAACAGTCTTCCTGAAATGACATCGCAGCGACAGCACCATCAGTTGTCAGGAAACTAAGTATGGACAATATAAAATGTTTAAAGCAGTGCACTTTTCAATAAAATTAACCAAAAAGACATGCAAAAGAGTTTTCATATGTTTAAGAGTAGAAAATTGCACAAAATGTGTACCTACGAAAAATTCATCTCACGGACCCTTTAACATCTGGCATTGCTGTATTATGGGGAAGGAAAAAGAATGCATAATGTATACCCACAGCGAATTTGAGCCAATCAAATAGTGGACAAGCCTATTTATTGGTTTTAACTAAACTACCACATAACAAAAAGATTCTCACAATTCTCTCAATGAGTCCAAGGACTACTCATGTCCATCACTTTAATTCCGTTTGCAGTATTAAAAATGTATACAAGTTCTTCAAAGGTTTAACTGTAGTACTTAATTTTTGAGATAAAAACCCAGAAAGGATGCATTTTACAGGTGTTTTAATGTCAAGTATACAAACATATTAAACTTTTTGAAACCACAAATGCATGAAAACAATGGACTGATCTAAATTGGAAACATTTAGTACATAAAAACAAAATTGTTTAAAAAAAAAAGAAACAATACAGAAAATAATTGTGACGCTGGACACGGATGATTCAGTTACATAATTGTCAGGGATTCCACTATTTCAGTGTAGAATCTTACAAGTTGCATAAAATTGCAAAAAACAGTTTTAGTTGACACAACCTGGGATAAATATATATTGAACCCGCCCTGCGAAAACCCGCCCTTGTCCGGTTGCAAAAAAATTCAAAAATTAGAAATAGTCCAATATTCGGTGGATTTTTTTCGCACGATGTCTCATTCAAAAGTGAGTAACTTTTATATTGCTAGAAAAAAATAGCAATTAAAAAAAAAAATCAACTTTTTGGGGTGTGAAACTCAAAATAGCACGGGGAACTCATCGTTAATGTGTTTGTAATGACATTTTGAAACTAATCACACATCTCTCAAACCAAACTTATACAACAAAATGTCTTTTCAGTTGTGGGTTGGTCATAATCAGAAGGGTCCCTGTACAGTGACAGCACTCTGACATATGTGATGTGATCAAGCTAAATGAGTCGTTTGTCGGGAACTTTCATTTGGAGATTCAGGCCAAAATAGGACCACTTCATCACATCTCTTGGTGTTCCAACATCCATAATTTTCTAACTAAAGATGGTACCAGCCATGCGGTTTTCACAGCAGTAATGATGAGATTGTACTCTTTTCAAATCTGTAAAAAAAAATTGACCAGGGTCGACAAACGACTCATTTAGCTTGATCGCATCAATTATGTAGAATTAGCAATGGAATGAGTGAAGAAAAGTTGTACACACATTTGTCCATCCATCCACTATTTTGAAGTCCCCAGGACCACAGTAGAAAAAGAACTTTCACACAAAAAATATAAAATGAAACAAAGAATTAAACGCTGGCATAGCAATGTTGTCAGTCATTATTTTCGGTTCTTCCTTACCCAAAAACTGGATGTATTGATTCCCTTTATCTCCAAAACACAAGGTACTATTTCTACAAATCTACAAATGTACAAGATAAAATATCCTCGGGACTCCTACATACTCAATACCAAAATCCCGAAGTATTTCTCAAGTTTGTTTCCCCTGAAAATCCCCATCCTCGAGGAGAAGAAAATGCTGGGTATATCACATGAGTTATGTGTCTCGACTCACCAGTAACAATTTTTTGCTCACAAACAAAAATACAAACAAAAAGTAATAAGTAGAATGACTTTCATGACAGGAATCCATGATACATTGAAAGGTTTCGCCAAATCTGTCAAGCAACTGGTGTGGTCATGCCTTCATGAGAAGTAGCTCAATGCTCAACTGCCAATTTCACACGCTGATGCGGAAAATCACTTATCCCAACTAGGAAATCATACAGTATGTCATTCCACCCTCTACATATGATACTCCAATCAAATGTTTGACGGCACAGTGCGAAATTCTAACAAGAAGAACCTTAAACAATTTATCTGATGTCATTGATAAATTGAATGACCTTAACTTGTCAAGAATAAGGCAAACATTGTAACTCAATTAAATGTACAATATGGGCCAAAATATCCTGAAAGCAGTGAGTAATGTGCCAGAAAGGTAAACAGACCCATGTTACAGTATTGATAATTTGAATGAGATTTATTCAAAATGTCGGTGCCGCTCTATGCGTGTGAGAATAAGGGAACCTCTGGTAAAATACTGTGACGAAGAAACGAGGCATTTCTCACAACAATCTGGTCAATGTTTTTGAAAGGAAACCTGTACATCAAAGCCAATGTGACAGAGAATTGTAATCACTACAAGGCCAATTGGGCACAACTTAGCATTCCTGGAGGCCAATAACACCTGTCACATTCCCCAATAATGCACAATTGTCCGTCCCCCATCAACTGAGGGAGAAATTTCAATAAGACAACACACACACAAACGAAGAAAACCAAATTTGTACATGCATCAATTCCAAAACAGTGAAAGAATATGACACTTTTTGTGACGGCTCCAAATTGATCATGGTAATTCATTTTAGTCCAAACGGCTTGTGTGTATTTCCACCCTTACTGATGTACTATCCAATGGCACTTATACGTATGCAGCTGAAGATACCCCAGGGTCACGTGACTAATATGGACGGCCTCTCTGGCCACCCCTTCCTCGCCGCTGACCCCTTGGGCCCGGTCCCCGGCCCGGTCTCCGCCCACGCCCCCGCCCCCTGCCATTGCCGAATCCACCCCTCCAGCCATCACCGGCATAACCGTCGTCCCAGGCGGCATAACCGTCATCCCAGGCGTCATACCCCCCACCGCCCCATCTGTTGTGATTTCCGAAGCCTCGCCCGCGACCAGGGAAGCCTGTTTAAGAAAATGACAAATGACAGAAAATCAGAACCTGGACCGGACATTTCTGAAGAAGGAAAAATGGATAGAGAGGTCACACATTATGAGTTATTAATTACATCAGGCTTCCAATGGTAAAAATAAATCGTTGTGTTGTATGCTTTTGTAAAAAGTACCCGGATGACCGCAATATTCTTTTTGATATTGTCTTGATTATGGCATTTTTTTCAAATTTCGCTGGTTCCCGGAAAATCAAAAGCGTAGAAACTCACAGTTATCAACCAGTCAACAGAGCAGTCTCGGTAGGAAGATAAAGTTGACACTGCTTAATGAAACTACTGAGCAACAATACTCCCAAGATAAAAATTTCTTTGCTTCAAAATCTTATCTTTTTCCTACCTCTCATTGGTCCACAGCTTGACTCCCAGCCCTGATAGTATCCGTCGCCGTATTCACCAAAGTTGCCCCACTCACCACCCCCACCGCCTCCACCTCGGCCCCAACCGCCACGACCTCTTCCTCGACCTTGACCAAATAACACCAAGTTGAAGCGAGATAACAGTAACATGTTGGATACAGAGCATTACAAGCTTTCACCACCTCAAAGTTCTGGACGACCTCTGTGACATTAGCTTAAGCAAATTTTCAAGGACGGTTTTGGACCAAACCAGGTGTTTGTATAGGGAGTACCCAAGTTTTTTGAATGGGTACCCGAGATTTTTGAATAGGTACCCAGGTTTCTTAAATGGGTACCCGGGTTTCTTGAATGGGTACCTGGGTTTCTTGAATGGGTACCTGGTTTCTTGAATGGGTACCTGGGTTTCTTGAATGGGTACCTGGGTTTCTTGAATGGGTACCCGGGTTTCTTGAATAGGTACCCAGGTTTCTTAAATGGGTACCCGGGTTTCTTGAATGGGTACCTGGGTTTCTTGAATGGGTACCTGGTTTCTTGAATGGGTACCTGGGTTTCTTGAATGGGTACCCGGGTTTCTTGAATGGGTACCTGGGTTTCTTGAATGGGTACCCGGGTTTCTTGAATGGGTACCCGTTTTTTTTTTTTTAATCGGGTACCCGGTTCACATACTATCCGTGAAGTGAATGCACATCCCAAAGCATATTCTGTGTTCAATGCAAAATTCAGGATTGTGACGAGTATGACATTTTGTTGCATTTTTTTTAAGGAATCTACTTACCCCCTCCCCCATTCCACTGAGGAAAGCCCCTCCCACCTCGAGGGGGACCCCCACCACCCCAGCCACCTCCTCTTGAGAAACCTGACGAATGAGAAGAAAAAATCCAAAAAAAAAATCAGTGAGTCACTGTGAAGAGCCGCATCTACCTACTGTAGCAGGCAGGAGGTACAAGCAGATCCAGACCAGTTTAAATTTATCTGTGAGCATTTGATAAAACACTTGATGTTTACCTTCAAACCAGTTCAATCACTACAAATTAAAGCTAATAACGCAATTTCTGAAGTTCCCTAAATAACATCATCACTCCGTAGTGCAAATCTGGATTCAATGCTCCAGCCTTTGGTCTTTTCTGTGTCAAATGTAACGTCTTCCCCCCCCCAACTGAAAAATCTTCAACAGCCAAGCCACACCCCCTTTGGAACATCCAGAATCCGCCACTGTGGAGGCATTATTTGAAAACAAAATCAAAAGGGAATGAGTTCAGGGTAAACATTCTTGACCGACTTCAAGGCAATGGTTTTGTACCTCTTCCCCTTCCTCTGACCGTCTCCTGTCTCTTCTTCCTTTCTTTCTTCTTGAGTTTGGCTTTCTGTTCTGCGTCTTTCCTCTTGAACTTGGTCACAACGCACCGGTGGTCCCTGATATAATGCTCGTGCATAACTGAAAGAGTAAAGCACAAAATAAATAAACAAGTAGTTACACAACTGTGTGTATATACAATGAGCCAGTTCGGTATTTTAACTGTGCATGTGAACAATGATATGGGTCAAGTGTCATTCGGGATAACGAACGTTTCGAAGGCGCATGAACGTGGGCGCATGATGCTTGCGTGTAAATTACCAGCAGAATGGGCGTGGGAATAACACATCACATCAGCGATGTTATCCCGAATGACCTCAGGTCATTGAAATACCGAACAGGCATACATTTCTTTCAGTTACTTTTGCAGTTGGCCCACTAGTGTTGAAACTGGTATTATTATACCTCATACACATTCATGAGCAAGAGTCAAATTCTAACTGGTCAATTCACCACCACATACCAAGTGCACATGTTTGAACTCAGGTGAGTCACAAATAAATGTATGCAGTTGATTATCATATGATTTACCTGTACAACACTTTACAAACTGCGCAATCGTGGAGCTATAATCATTAGCCTATTTTGAGATATGGCGGACACAATACGAAGACTTTACCCAAATCAAACAGCGCCCTCTGACTGTGTCTGCCACATCTCAAACAGGCTACTATGCACTCATGAAAAGAATTTACATTTAACTTCAGTGGACACATTGTATTTCATTGGCTCCGTAAATTACAAAATTATGGTAACTGAATATAAATGGTGAATAGTAAAAAAAGAAAAATATAACATCGTTGTTTTCCGGTAGATAGACAATATTATTTCCCCTCGGTATTAGAAGTTGACACATTAGTTCCCTTGGCTTTGCTTCAGGAACAAGTTTGTTAACTTCCAATATTACAGGGGGCTTATATCTATGGTTCACGCTAAAACCATGTGAGATATGTGTTTAGAATCCGTTCCATTTTCTGCCATGCCAATACCGACAAATAGGAGATGAGGTGGCATAATAAATGAAAACTGATGGTCCTTAAATCCAGTTCCAACTCACTTGCAAGTTTCTCAATGTCGTGATGGTTGTCCATCTCGATGACGGCAAAACCCAGCTGCTTGCTCGTTTTTCTGTGAAAGGGGAGCTCCATGCGCACGATGTTGCCGTACTTGCCGAAGTATTCCCGCAGGTCGTCCTCCGTGATGTCTGTTCCCTTGAAGTTTGTGACGTTCATTTTGTTGATGCGATCGGTTATCATCGCACGATGTAACTGTTTTAGAGCGGGGAAAAGATAAGAATGAGCTCATTGGGGTTTTCTTAAACCTTATAACTCTGAATCATGCATAGAATATGAACTTTTGCCTGAAACATGTTTTTGCTCATTCCACATGAAAGTAGACCTACACAAGATATGATAAGAGTCAATAATACTCGTCTTGCCTCCCAGTTCGCGGCACATATCATCAATGCATCATAATAATTCAGCTAGTTTGATGTTTATTCATAAAAAATAAAATAATGTCACACCATTGCTGCACTCAGTCATGCATGTACATTAAAGCATTTCAAAGAACGGCTTTCGACGAACTGCCACAGTGGCCTAGTGGATAGTGGAATGAACTATGTATCGCAAGATCTGTGGTTTGAACCAATGTCCATTTTCATCAAATAATTTTCTTGGTTGAGATAAGTTGAATTGAAGGAAAATTACTATGAAAACCATCCACACAGAGTGAAAAATATTCATGTTAGGGTGCATGATATGATTGGTTATGAACCAGGCTTACCCCATCTTGTTTAAAGCAAATTGAACTCACTGTGTGCGGGGATGCCCTGTTGACGACCAGCTCTTTTTCGTGCAGGACATGGGGTGTGGGGTGCTTCAAGATGGCGTCCACTTCCTCGATCGTTGACATCAATAAGAAAGCATACCCCTTGGAGGCTCCTTCTTGACCTTCGACCTCGGGGGCCTCTCGTACCAGGGTGCATTCGACGACAGTGCCGAACGCAGTGAAGTACTCCGTCAGATCGGTTTCTGTTGTCTTTTCCTTGTCCAGCTCGCCCACGTAAAACTTTTGAAGTTTTTCGTTATTCTGCGGGAAGAGATATTGGAAAACATGACAAGTGGAAGCTACAAATTTGATTTGAACTTGCAAAAGGGCCAACAAATGTGCTGTTGGGTCGAGTGTTTTGTGTCAAACTAGGTAAAATACAGTGTTACATCAAATTTGAAACCTTACCCTGCCAGACACAACACAGTGCATCTGGTGTAAAAAATGTCTGTGTGACCTTGCTGCATTGAGCCAACATCAGTGCATAAACGGCCAATGCTTAGACTATGAGAACTAGTCCCATTGTACAATGCCAGAGCTATGTCCTGCTGTTGTTGTTGACTACAGGTTCTGAGGCAGTTTAGCCTTGAGACTTTTGACCGAATAGATCAAAATGGTAACCTAACCTTCCCTGGTGCCCTAGCCTTCCCTGGTACCCTAACCTTCCCTGGTACCCTAACCTTCCCTGGTACCTCACCTCCACAGTAAAAGCCCGCCTGACGTCCAGCAGTCGGTCGTGGAGCCTGTACTCCTGCTCCCCCTCATGAGCCTTGATGATTTTCTCGAAGTCCTCTTGATTGCACATTCTGACGAAGGCATAGGTCTTTTTGACGGCGATGGCGTCGCGCCCCTTGCGGGGCATAGTCAGGTCCTGGATGTTCCCCCACTGGCTGAAGTACGCCCGGATGTCGTCTTTTGTGGTCTTTTCTGGGTCCAGGTTACCTATGTATATCTGTCGCCTCTTGTTTTTCTGAGAGAAAAAAAGGCAAAAATAAGATCACCAACAAGACTGCTGTTGGAAAGCTTAAGATCTGGTTTGGTCCATTCACTCCCTAGGCATTTTTGCTAGGATGCAACCTCAATCCTGTAAAATCCTCCAACTGCCTCCATGTAAACATTGCATACAGCCTCAATCCTGCAAAATCCTTCATTATGTGGTCCTTGGAGGGGTGACCACTGCCTCAATCCTGCAAAATCCTCAAGCAATTACTGTCAATATGTTGAGGCAGAGCCAGTGACATCCTGGAGCAGTGCGGAGGATTTCAAGTATAATTTAGGCCTAAATTTATGCACGGCTGAGCATAAACAACACAATGTGCATCCTCCAAAATAAGCCACAAATTTTTGTCGTATAGCCTTAATCCTGCAAAATCCTCAATTTTGCAAAGAGGATTTTGGAGGATCTGGGAAGGTTAAACAAGCCAGTCCTGTCCACGGGAATCTCTAAAGTGGTTAAAAAACACCCTCTCTTGTTTGTCCATGGAGCGCATACTATGCAACAATTTTTCATGGACCAAATGATGTACCACGATACCCACTCACATTTCTGTCGACGTGGACTTGTTTGACCTCCGCTTTGGCCCCGTCAATTATCTGCCGACCGTGGGAGTTCTCACTGATGATGGTGTCAACCTCCTCCTGCAGCGCCATGGTGACGAAGCCGAAGCCCCTGCTAACCATCTTGCCGTCCACCTCCTCTTTGCTGACGCGGCAGCTGGTCACCGTGCCAAACTTACTGAAGTAGTCCCTCAAGGAATCGTCTGTGGTCTTCACCTTGTCTAAATGGGACACGCTCAGCCGCAACTTACGCTCTGGTGCCTGGTGGTATAACAACATAATCATTATAATTAGTGTGTGTGCCCTTGGACAAGGCACTTGGTCACTCATTGATTCTCTCCACCCAGGAGTAAATGGGTACTTGTGAGGGCAGAGATGGTTAATGTGATTGAATTAGCTTCCTTGCGCCTAACAGGCAGCATTGAGCTGTATACTCCCCATGGAGCTGAGTCGGGTAGAGTTTGTTCTAGTGGGAGTCGTCTGTAATTGTTACTCACACTTAATGGCTTCGATATGGTTACAGCCACTTGTCTTCCTTGTAGCGTGTGCTTCTCCCTCAGCACAGCTTGGGCCTCCTCAGCAGAAGACATCGTGATGAAGCCAAACCCCTTGGAGCCATTGTGCTTTCCCTTCTTGTTGAACATGGACCTGTCTCTGGCGATGGTGCAACTCTCTACGGTCCCATAGGCACTGAAATGCTCCTTCATGTTCTCCTCTGTCGTCTTGGCGTGCAGACCGCCGATGAAAAGCTTCCTAGGGTCTTCAATCTCCTGATCCTGAGAAAATAATTGGGTTTCTTGGTCTTACTGGAGTTTGTTAGGTCTTTATTGAATTGGTTAATATTTTATTCATTATTTACTTATGTTTTGCAAAGAATGTGCATGTAGTATACAGACGCCATTTCATTGATTGTAACTTAAGTTGTATACAAATTACAAAGTCTACAGAGAGTCAAGGGCTTTTCAAAGTAATTTCTAACTGAAAACGTTTCTCAGTTTCAGATTTCAGACTACGGAAACAGTGAAACCAGACTACGATTTTTCATTTTTTTATATTTTTAAATTTTTTAAACACATTTTCAAATAGGCCTAGGCTATACATTTACATTTCCAGAGCTTTCTGGATTTGTCTTCAAAAAAAGAAATCATTCACAAGGTGAGGTGAAATGATGTGATTTGCGGCAGATAGGTGGCACTCGAGTACGGACACATGACGGAACTCATTCCAAATCTAGTCTAAATTCACGCTACATACAGAGCAGTGTGAACAAGGCGAGTACGGCAACTAGACTCAGCATGCTCAGACGACGTTTCGTTTCACGGTTAAATAACACGTAAGGTTTACCGATTCAGCCTTGTCTCCATCCTCTGCTTCATCCTCAGACTCCATGTCATCTTCCCCCTCGTCCTGATCAGATTCTTTCTCAGACTCGACGTTTCCTTCTTCCACAGCATCTTCCCGAAATTCTTGTTCCTCGCCGTCCACATCCATCGCTGCATTATCCGACTCCATGTTGCCGATGTAGTTAGTCTGGCGCGCACTTTTCATTTGGTTCGCAAACTAATACAAAATGCAGAAACTGGGTTGCGGGAACTAGACATTCAAAAAAAATGAGGGCGCTATAAAAGAAAAATCTCAAACACTGAATCGAAGCGCGCGTGTGTACACCTGCTTACAACAGAAAAAAAGTTTTCAAAGGTTTTATCTGCCTTTCTGCCTTTAGAAAAACAGAAATTACTCTAAATAAAACCCAGGCTCCTTTCTCTGCTACCTTAAAAGGTACATTTTTTCTTGTTCTCTTGAACTTTGGTCTCTCAACCGATGGAATAGGAGAAAATCAGATCAAACCTAAATTAAGATCATTTTTTTTTAATGAAAACTTTCAAAACGTGCAATCTCCGTTTCCGCTATGAAAGAAAAACATTAAAGTTTCAATCAGAATTGCATTATTGTTTTTTTTTTATTGTGGCATAAATAAGCCATATCAAATTGTCCTTGCAAATAATAAACCTATGAGAAAGTACAACTTGTTGTGTAGCCAGTACACGTCACCAATTCTTTCAAAACCAAATTAAATACTTAGTTTTCAAAAATACAGTTTTTATAGTTAATACAACACTAAATTCATTTACACACAAAGGGAACATTAAGGAAAACTACCAACGTACTTGTTGGCAACATGCAGTACATAGTAAACAACTTTTCTTCAGGAAATTTCTGATCTTAGAAATACTTCCAAATATATCTTTTTTGCAAATGTCTGTAATTCTGATCTTAAAGTGTTATTTTTAAAATGAAATCCTTTAAAATACACCTTAGAGTCCCATTTAACTTTTTTTCCTTCAAATTTCGTTCTGCTATTTTCAAGGGTATTTTGTATCCTTTTTTCACAATAATGCGAATTTCCATATTCATGAGCAAGAGTGATGCCATTCCAGGCAGAAACCTCAAATGTTACAGCTATTTCGGCACAAACAAATTTGCTTCAAAATTTTGGATATTTTGTGAATTTCCATATTCATGAGCAAAACTGTGATGTCATTCCTTGTAGAAACCTAAAAATTACATCCGTATTGCAACACAAGAAAATATTCTGGAAATGTTTAATTTGTGGTTGTTTATAAAAAAAAATTTCATTGGTGATTATTATGTCAGTACATGGCAGTAAGCCAATGAGCAAGCTTTTCTCACAAATGTTTTCAATGAGCACATTTTGGGTTCACAATTTAAACAGAAAGTGCCATCACAACATTAGCTACCTCAGTTGTCTAGAAAAGCATGTTTTTTTTTAAACAAATACTTTATAAGAAGTGCACTTTAAACTAAAATTAACCAAAACGGATGTGACATAGTTTTCATGCATCTAAGCGTAGAAAGTTGCACAAAATGTGTTCCTAAGAAAAATTCATCGCATGGCCCCTTTAAACCCCAAATGACAAAGCATCATACTTGACTTCAATTTAAAACCAGATCCTTTAAAAAAAAGCCTACAATAATGTATTCCCTAATCTGTGATCTGAAAGACCAATAAGAAATCCTATTGTAAAAACAAGACGGTAATTCAAAGCTTACGCTATAAATTGTGTAAACCTAGCCAATGGCCTTATGCACAAGTTGGCCATTTTTGTTGTGTTCCCTGCATGTACTTCATTAATTGTTAACTTTTGAATGGGATGGGCCAAACTATTTATGCAGGCATAAAGCAGCCTTCTTTTGCTGCAATTTTGTTTTAAATCTGGCTTTAAATATTAGGGAATGTTCAATTACAAATTTGAAATCATTCATTGAAGGAGACTGGAATTAATTAGTAATTAACTTGCTTTCATTTCTCTTTGCAAGATCCAAAAATTAAGATTTCACCGCACTTTCAATTCAATATGGCCGACTCGTGCATAAGGCCATGGTCTTCATCCAACATGATCTTCAGTTCTAGTGGTTGTGTTTACTGTACTTTTCGGGTCTCAATATGGCCGCCACCCCCTGCCTCGGCCCCGCCCCTTGCCTCTAGTCATATTGCCCCCTTCCCCCCACATGTCATCATAACCCCCACCCAGTCCGTCGGCGTCACTGAAGCGACCGTCTGGTCTCTCCCCGTTGCCATAGCCGACACCCATATTCAAGACACTGCCTCGCCCCTTGCCTACGAATCCTGTGAAGTAATAACGAGAGAAAACACCATGGAAATATGGATGTCTAGTTAAATGATTTCAAGAAATACCCTGACTTAATTTCGGCCATCCTTAATCAGCAAATGACATCTCGTACATACCTGCACATGTACTTGTCAAATGAACTAGTAGTTTTCTTTCAAGCACATATTGCCAAAGCACTTGTAAGTACATGTATTAATTTCCTAGTCTGTTTCACCAATGCACTTTTGCCTTTCGAATTTTCCTTGAACTTCTATATTTACTTTGTTTAACCTTACTTTATGATATGTACCATATGCAGGGCCCCAATGGAAACCAGTTTTTCAGAATGAGAACAGGTGTAGAGTGCTCAGATCTGTCTATAACTTTGTTAAAAGTTTGATGAATTTGCTTGCAGAAACCCTACCCTGCAGGTTTCTTTTTATAATTTCCTAGGAAATTTCTAAAAAGTACCTTTTAGGGAGAACGGCCGTGGGTGGACTTCTGGCTCTTGGTATAAATTGTCTACAAACACCCAGCCACTGGCACTTCCCCCACCTACAAACGGAGAGAAAAAAACTGCCTGTAAATGTGGACAGGCATTACATTCACTGTGTGGACTTTTAAACAAAAGATGTCCACATAAACCAGGTAGCAGCGACGTTGCGTGGACTTGCCCACGTCCACACAAGGTTTCCCCCTCTCTGGAAAACAGATTTAGAGGCATTTTTGGGTTAGGTTTATTTGTCGCATAATGAAGAGAAACACTCAAGGGAATCATAGTAACAAAACATTGAGTTGAAAGAGTTTACACGGTGTGAGTAAAATGATTTTTTTTCCGAGGTTTTTCTTAGCTACATGAAAGCAAGGAAATGTCCACACTTGGTATGTAACTTAAACATGTGTGTGTTCACTGTGTGTGATTGTGATCTTGTTTACACGTCGGAGGACCCTGGACAATGGGTTTCCTGTGATAACAACTCCGAGGACCTGAGCCGTGTCCTCAGAAGGTTATCGTGTACTAACCTTATGGGACGTGGAGCAATAAGGACCAATAAGGGTCCTTCTAAGAATGGTAAAATCACGACCGTGTGCAGTGTATAGAATGGCTCAAGGAAATCTAAAACATCTTTCTGCCTGTTTTACACAGAACAGTTTGGGTCATCTGTGTTAATAATTAAAAAAAAATTGTGAGGGATGTTAAAATTTGTCATTGTCAGATTTGTCATGTTTATGGTGCTGTGATAGTAAACTCTACTTTCAGGCTTTCAGATATTAGTGTGAATAGTTGACCAATGTTCAAGCTGTGTTTGTATACTCACCCCGGCCTTGTGCGTGACCCCGTGGCACACTAAGTGAAAGTCCCCTACCTGCATTATCAAAATATGTCAAAAGTGAAAATGGTTAAAAATTTAATAGTCTGAGTATCACCTGTTGTCCAATTGAGCCCTCTCTGTCTCAGGTCCAACGTCTGATATATCTAAGCATGCATATTTATGCGACTCCACGCATGCCACTTGGAGTCAACTTTATAAAATTGTAACGCCATTTTGAACAGAAATGTGGACTAAGCTGTTGATTGGTCAATTTGAATGCAACAACGGGCATACAGATATAATAAAACCTAGACACGACACTGGTTCTCAAAAACTGTTAACAAAACGCTGTGTTTAGAACTCTCAAAGCCAAAATAAAAAAACCCTCAGAAATTCAACTTATTAGTGCAAGTTCAGATTTTGATAACCAGTGCGCGCCGGGATTACTTTGACAAGAACGGAACGAGGCGCAGGACTTAATTTCACTCAACCTCATGCCAGGCGGGTTGAAGCCATCACCTTCAGGCAGCACACTCATATTTCCGGCCTCGCTCGCTGAGAGCGGGTCGCTGACAGATATTTTCGGTCTTGCTCCCTGCGTGTTTATCTGTCATCCGTTCCGAATACTGCAAAACTTTTGCGTGTATCCACGGCCTCCGGCGCGAACTGGTTTAAGAAGATTTTGTTTAAACATTGCAGGGACTATTTTACTGCTTTTAGCCCGACACTAAACCAACAGTTTTAGAGATTTGCGTACCTCTGACAGGCCCATATCCAGAGGGATCCTTCTCATAAAAATAATCTGCTATCCCAGCTTGCCGAGAGGGTACATATCCACCTTGACACAAAACAAACAAGAAGAACAGTATTTAACACATCCACACTCATTCCCCTTTCTGTCTCATGCATATTCATGAGCATGTGACCTAATTTGCATACCTGGCATGGGCTGGTTGCGATACTGTCTACCCCCTGAGCTGCCAAAACCTGGGGAGGAGAGAACACAAAGAAGTTTAATATAAAAGAATTTTACTCCAACAATTTTTATTTGAAAAGACAAAACAACATTATAACATTCTATTGAGAATGAAAACCTCTTATTTTCCTTGTTTGAGTCACAAATGCTACAGTGACAAACCTCGTGCTTGTCTTGGGCCTTGAGATTGACGCGAGCTGCCTTGCGAGGTTCTACGACGTCTGGAGTTCTTAGACTGCTGGCCAGCACTACTGGCACTGCCTGAACTTTTCACTGAACTCGACTGGTTGCCAGAACCTAAAGAAAATCATCAATTTCATTTTTGTTTTAATTTCAATATCAGAATGCATAACCCACGAGTCCCTGAATCATGACAAATTGCCCAGCTTACACCAGAAACACCCCAAATTGCCATTGCACTGTGTGGTTTTATGGGTTCATCTGGGATTAAGTGCTATGTGATACAATGTAATACAATGTAATACAAGTGCTATGTGATACAATGTAATACAATGTAATAATACAAGTAGTGTCAAGTTAAAGTAAGTGATTACATCACTTCAGAAAACTCTATGTAGGATTGGTAATAAAGTTGTCTCATGTTGGTTACCAATGACATTTTTGACATCATATTAAAGTAAACTGAATTTTGTTCATGGACAATACACCCTCTTATCTTTCTCTGCAATGTGGCTGTGTTGCACTTATTTGGAACAAAACAACTGAGAATGTTTCTATCCCCCTGGATGGGATGCCAGCCCATCGTAAGATATTCCCCAGCTAATGCCGGTACCCATTTATACTGCTGGGTGAAAAGAGGCCAGTGGGGTTGACATGGTTGAAGTGGCTTGCCCAAGGACACAACATATGGCCAGCAGCTGGATTTGAACCCCTGACCCTCCGATCATGGGTCAAGAACCCTAACTGCTAGGTCACACTTCCCCATTTCTTTAATTTTTATAAAATTTATTGATAAGTAGGTCAAACTTCAAAATGGCAAATGTAGGAACTATTTGTGCAGCACACCTTTCTTGTTGACACTCTGCTTCTGTTTAGCAGCTGGTTTCTTGGACTTGTCTGGTTTAACAGCCGACTGTGGGTCCGCCATTCTCACAATCAGCCAGTACTTTTTAACACAGTGATCCTGCATATCTGGAGAAACATGGGCGAAAAATTGGATATTCCTTGAATGATAATGGCTTCATTGAGGCTTTCAAGTACTGATCAAAAGGTCATGGGAACTTTTTCTTATCAACTCCTTGAATCCTCCAAGATCAAAAATTGTGCTTTCACTTTCAGTCCAAAAGTAACCTTATTTGTGGCGAGGCCAAATTGTCTTCATCCAAACAAGGAGCAGAATAATTTCATAGCATTTTGGGACCAGTCCTATCTTGACTCTGAGCAAGGATTTTCTCGTTAAATCGGTAGCTAAGTTTCCAGATAATTGCAAATGTTCTTACGTGCCTTTAACTTCCACATATCAATCAATCATGCTGGTTTTGGCTCATTTCGGGAAACCTATCCATAGCAACATTGCCTGTCCAAGCTAGGGCATGTTTGTTTTGTGCAATCCAGATTGCAATCAGTGATCCGAAGCATTGATAGCTGTTCCACATCAGGTTTTAATGGATCCTGCTCATGAGGTGGGTTTGCAAGATAAAAGATGGCGATGTGCAGAATGAACAAAGAGAAAAAGTGAATTTTTTTTAAAGTAGATTTGAAGCATGAAATGAGCTTTTGCGACAATGTTTTTTCATCATTCTTTTAGATTGTATTTTCATGATTAAAAATAGTATGAAATATTTACTTTTTTTGAAAATTATAGATAGCTTATCATAAAAATAGCCCTTCTGTCAACAAAATCTGAAGCAGACTGGATCAAATAAGCTTGATCAGGAATGAACCAATCAGGTCCTAAGGGTCTTGAACGATAGGGAACTTACGTGCGAGCTTCACGGCATCATCAGCACTGCCCAGCAGTATTCTAGCTGCACCTTCGTCCTTGATCATGGTGATGTTCCTCACGTTTGCGTGCGTGTTGAAGTACGCCCTTAAATCATCCATTGTGAGGGTTCCATCTTTGAGTCCTGAGACGTAAATTTCTTTGACTGGTTGGCGATCATAATCATTCTGTGACTGTGAACGAATTCAAATAACACGTGGAGAATATCCTTGAACGATTGTAAATCAATCAAAAGGCTCACAAAATTATTTTAAGTGGAAAATAACTCTTTGGAAATATCTCTTAGTGACCCATTCAACATGATTTTCAAACTTCATATTGCCATTTTCAGGGGCATTTTGTAGTCTTATTGTTTTTATGCTAAATTTTGATTTTTTTTTTCTATGGTAAATTGTATGTATTTGGTGAAATCATTGTTTTAGTACGTGACAGTACTGAAGTCAATGACCCAACTTCAGGCACAAATGCGTAAATTTTTGGGTTCACAATTTGAACAGAAATGCCCCTAAATTGTAGAGTGTGATATCACAGCAACAGCCCCTTCAGTTGTAAGGAAAACATGGAAAAGTCATAAAATGGTCATTTTTTTTAGCTGCGGGATAGCAGCTCATCAAATCATCATGTCTCTCCGTTAGTCTGTTAGTTAGTTAGTTAGTAACAAATGTTAACATTGTCTATTGCTCCTGCACAATTTGACAGATTTTAACCAAACTTTGTCAAAAGTATCAGTAGCCAGTCCCATTAGTCACATGACCAAACTGGGGTCAAAGGTCATCATGGGGTCACTGGGGTCAAAAAACTGATTTTGTTACTCAAAACACTACTCCTTCCAGAAATTACATGGCACAATCACGTGACTGATGCATGCACACGAATTCGTTGGCCGGCAGCTTCCAAGATATTTCAGACCGAGCTTGTTATTTGAGCCATCAGTCAGACTAAAAATACTAACCGGTGGTAGGGGTACCCGATTGAAGATCAATTCCTTGCCGTGGATTTTATGCGGTCCTGTGTGCTTCAAGATGGCGACCGTTTCTCCAACGCTAGCCATATTGATGAAGCCGTAGCCTTTGGATTTGCACTCTCCTCCTTCCGTCTCCGGAGGGTCCCGGACAATGACGCAGTCTGTGACCGCCCCAAAGGCGCTGAAGTAGTCGGCCACGTCCGACTCGGTGGTTTTGTCCTTGTCCAGCCCCCCGAACCACAGCTTACGGAGCCTGTCCTGAGTCTGTAATGACATGGAATGTAAGAACAGGACTACATAAAGCTGAGTCAAATTCTTGGCAAGGCTAAAAGGTGAATTTCTTTCGGTAAGGCAACAAAAGTGCTGAAACTCTAAAGAAGGGTGCTATCAACTAACCTGATGAAATTTCAGCTCAGTGAATGCTGTACGTTCCGAGAAAACAATATTCTAGGCTCTCAATTTTAATTTTAAAGTTGCCAAGTCATGTTTTGAATTGTGTCCAAACTAAGCGTCTGGGACACATTCTCATTCAGCCGATTGCAGCTACGCAATGTCAAACACTGAACCTGAAGCCACAAAAGTAAAACGAATTACTAACGGAAATTTCCAAAAAAGCGTCTTTGGACGCATCTTTGGAAATGACCTTCTTTTATTGCTAGTCAACGTGGCAACATTACTGTACAACAAACTCCTCTCTATAATTCTACAATTTGTTTGTGTATTGTAGCTTGAACAACTGCAAATATTAAAATGGAAATCTATTTACTTGTGTGCCACGAGAGACCCGTTTGACGTCAACCGTTTTTTCGTCGACAGTCTGGTGCCCGTTGATGCAGCCGTTCAAGACCGCTTGTACTTCCTCCTCCGTTGTCATGGTAACATAGCCGATTCCCCTGGATACCACCTTGCCGTCAACTTGCTTCTTGGAGATGTTGCAGTTGGCGACGATGCCAAATCGGCCGAAGTGAGCTGCTAACGTCTCCTCTGTCGTTTTCTCAACGTCCAGATTCCTTACGCTGAGGCGGAGTTTTCTCTCTGGTGCCTGATGGGCAGAGGGGGGTGGGGGGGGGTGGGAGTTGGAATACAAGAGAGGAAGAAAAATATAAAAAATAGAAGCAACAAATGAAGAGAGTTAAACTGTAGCTGTTGTTAAAGATGCCCGTTTCGGACACCGCTTGATAGCAGAATACTTCTGCCTTTTCTGAGGTACGCTGAAGAGCTAGAGGTCACATGACCAGAGGTCACATGATGGCTTGGTATGCAGTGTCTCTTCTAGTGCCAAGGATATGTAACGACATGGTCTCAGTGCATGAGTAGTAGATGGCAATTTGTGATTACTCAGCTCAGCCATGGGAAGACACATTACGGAGGCACGTTGAGGGGGTACATGTGAACGGAGCCCATTGCTGTCTCAGTCAAACCTTTAATTAGATCAAATAAATGGTACTAAATTGTAAAGACAAGCAAATCCCTCCAACTTTTTCACTGTATTTTTGACTTACATCCGGTGGTCGGGAGATCGCGACTGTCACCACCTTGTCCTTGATGACATGGGTGTCTTTCAAGACGGCCTCGGTTTCTGCCATGGTCGTCATGGTAACAAATCCGAATCCTCTGGATTTGCCAATCTTGCCTTCTTCTGTCCCCTTTCTGGGGATGCTGCATTCAGTCATCTTGCCGTACTTTTCAAAGTGTTCCCTGAAATCGTCATCAGTCGTTCCGCTGTTAAGGCCGCCGATGAACAGGCGAGGGCCAACGATGTCCGAAACTGTATTCTGCTGAGTTAAAAAGGCAAACGCTGTTTCAGTGATAATTCAGTGTTAAATTAAAACCAGTGTTTACAATTTGTGTCAAAATCAAACATTTGCGTCTCTTCTGAAAAGTAAAAAAATAAAAGTAAACGATTCCGCCCCCCTCCTAAGATCTCGGCCATCGAGTGACGAACAATTTTGAAACTCGGTACATGCATAGAGCAACTCATCATGAATATACCCAAGAAATTTCATTACAATAGGTCAAAGGGTTTTGGAATTACGGCTAATTAACAATTCATATGTGCGAATGGTAATTCTGCTCTGTGTACACGACGCATATAGGAAAATTCACTTTCAGTTTTCACGCTGCTGCATAGCGCCGGAAAATTGTTCGCTGCGCGGCAACCCATCGTCCGATTTTGTTTTTGGTATCAAAAGATGCGCAAGGCTCGAGGGTAAAGGGTAATAGGCCTAACAGCTCGGGTCGCAAAAAAAATAATTCAAGGCTATCGCAGAAAAAGTTGAGGGAGGGTGGGTTCTGCCCCCCCCCCCCTTAGTTTTAGGGTTAAGTTGTAAAAAAAAAATAAGCACTGATAAGCATCAGCAAATCCCGACTTAAGGTATGGGCTGACTTATTGACATTTGGGTAAATCTGGGCTTACAACTTTTTCTTCATCATCGTGTTCACAATGCTCGCAATCCTGCATCATGTCTTCTTGACTATCGCCGGCTTGCCCTTCATGCCCGTCGTCTTGCATGTTCTGCTGTTCGCTTTCCTCATCATTCGAGATTAAACGGGCGAGGTTTTCCTCATCTAGTTCCATTTCTTCGATCTCTAATTCCCCTGTTATTTCTTCGGCCATTCTTTAGAAGGACCACAAATAAACAAGTGAGATGGACTTGATAATATGGGGGGAATGAAGGATGGAATAAATAAACAAGTGAAGTGGGCCTTCGCACACGATCCGATTGGCAGGCAATGAATGGCGCCCTCTTTTGATAAAATTTGGCCCACGTGGTGGCGAAACAAGTGCAACACGCATATATATCGCATCTGACATGTCGGAGGTAAGACTAAGAGTCTTCATTCTAACTTTTATTTCAATGATTTGACAGTTTGAAGCCCATTATGTTCTTTGCAGGCTTTTTTGGGTGCAGTTTGTAATTTGGCTTTCAGTGCACTGTTGATGTTTTGCTGTTAATTATTTCTTTCAAATCTTTTCAGCTACTGTTCACTTCATCAACTTTCAAGTTCAACTTCCGTGAATGTGTGATGTGTCAACTCGCCCCAGCCCATTTCTTTGGGGGGGGGGGGGGGGGGGGGGGGCTCGGGCTCGGCTCGGCTCATTTGGCACTTGACTCATACTCCTCATAAGAACAAAGGAAAGAATGTTGCTTCCTGACGCCATATTTTTTTTAGCATAAATAATTTTTAAATTATTTCAATGAAGTTCACTCATTTATGGGAGTAATTGCAGAATACCCCGCCACTCGGAAATACACCCCTAAATTCTCTGGCTACGAGGTTGGAATCACTGGAAAAGAAACAATTCAAGTCCATGCCAGCTACGCGGATACTGAGTGGGGGTCCATTATTTGAGAACGAAGCAACACAAAAGGAATGGGAGTTGCTGGAAAATTTTTAAGTCCAAACCAACCACCCTGTTGGCGGCTACGCGGATACGGAGTGGGAGTCCCCTTGAATATGCTTGAGAACGAAGCAACACAAAAGGAATGGGAGTTGCCGAAAAAATTGTAAGTCCAAACCAACTACCCTGTTGGCGGCTACGCGGTTACGAAGTGGGAGTGCAATGGAGCATGACGCCATACTACATACAAGTAGCGCTGAGAATGTTTATTGAGGTCAACCAACCGTGACCTCGTAGCCGGCTACGAGGTGGATAGATCGAGTGGCGGGGTATTCTGCAATTGTGCCCATTTATGCATTGCATAAATGTTGAAAATACATGAATAATTTGGGACTGAGAAACATATTTCCAAATTTATTAATTATTAGGAAATAAATAATTAATTTCAAAATGCACTCAACTTGTCTCAACTCTCCATCACGTCAATAGACATTGTACACAACCACCGAACTTCAGAAGTGGCGTCTGGATACTACATTCTTTCCCGAAGTCCGAACGATTTTTGTGCTGACAAGTGACATTGGGGCCCGATTTCATGGCCATGCTAACCACCCTCTGCTAACCACGGAATTCCGCGCTTACTATACGATCACCATTTTTTGCTAAAAAGCAACATTCTGCGCTAACCCTGTAAGCACAGAATCCTTAGTAACGGGATGATGTACACATGCGCAGAAGACACTAGCCCGTGAAATATGCTTACCGTAAACACGGATTTTTCGCTAACTGTAAGCAGAGCCATGAAATTGCGCACCCGGAACTCATTTGATGCTTGGGGCCGGGGTGCACTTAACTTTCATTCTGTTCGTTCGGAGAAAGGAATGATTACACAAAATGGAGACGTCATTTAGAACCAGAAAGTGTAGTGCAAACGAATGGAGTACGCACGCTATTCACTTCGGTACTCCATAGATGTACAACAGCATCGATTGTAAAAATACTTGTTTGTGTTCTTGTTTAATTTGGTTACAAAAGAAATTTTAGCCTACAATTTTCTTTTTATTTGAGGTAGGGGTGGGGGGCATCAGCCCCCTCGACCGACCGATCGGCTCCCCCACCCCATTCCACCACCCACTTCCACAACCCCTGGAAAACATGGACAATACATAGCAAAAAGTATATTTTACAACTTCATCGCCTGTGCTATGGGCAAAACAACTTAATCTCCTCATTCAAACAAATTCTTTGCAGACATCTGGAAAGTAGAAACCATAATTATGGCATCGGGAAAGTCGGGTTCCGGGGTTAAGCCCAAATGGCCCAGCAGGGAAGCTCACCTTAGCACTGGAAGTGAAAGGTGAATGCACTTTTTTGTTTCCATAACACGTCATCTCATAGCTTTAAGGTCCCTACTGGAAAAGTTGAACAAATGTCCTTATTTACAAAAATTGGTCGAATCTTCAATGCGGCCAAAAAATAGACAAACTTTGGTGATCGGGTCGGGAGAAATTATTTCACAAATTGCATTTGTCCAAAAGTTGTACCTAAAATAACTTTGTTTTGAGACTTAAAATTTGACCCAAGAGCCTTCGCCAGAATGTTTGTTGACTGCAGTGAGGACCTCGAAGCTTTCACTTCCACAAACAATTAATGTCAGAACCTTACATCCAAGCATCTTAATCCATCCTTCTTTGCTTTCTCACCCTCATGGGTCTATCACTGACCATTAACCATCCCCAAGACCTTCACATCAACTGTCCCGAAATGCATTTCAAAATAAACACTGCAAAAAAAAAAAAATCCACACTCATACGTCATTTTTTTAGACCATTTGTGGGAATGTTTTGCTACCCAAGACTGTAAATCATCTAACCTTGACAATATGTAGGAGCAATAGACAATGTCAACGTTTGTTTCTAACTAATGGACTAACAGAGAGCCATGATTTTTTTGAGCTGCTATCCCGCAGCTAAAAAGTGAGCCATCTTGAAAAAGTGTTGAAAACGAAGAGAGCTGTTACTCATAATAATGACTTCACATAGTTTGTCACTGCTGTAGACTAATCCATTGACAGCTACTTTCTTTGGTAACACCAGGCTCACCCGAGTGGCACCACTGCAAAAATTGCTTCTTATTTTGTTCGTCGGATTCATAAATTGAGACATTGCTTTTTAATTCACGAAATTAGGAATTGATTCCAAAATGACTTTGTTTCCCTTGAGGCAGATTCGATTTGCATCGCTGACATGGCTGAAATGAAACTGATAATCAGTAATCTTGAAATGATCTTGATATTCCAGTGATGTGAATCTGACAGTGCATTCCAATCCCCCGTTACAATCGTCCACCAAAAAGTCCCCTTCATCAAGACCCCAGGAGCAGCAGACGCAACAGGTGGTGCAGCACAGGCCACAAGTGGCACCACCCAGTAACAGGTGGGGTCTCAGTTAATCACCACTTAAAAACAAAAGTAGCTAAGGGCAATTATTGGTCTTTCAGTTATTGGGCCAATTGATTTCGTAAGCGCTTGTATTCTTGTATCCCTACCTATACTTAAGCTTTGCTCCGCTGCACCTACCAATTTAATACAGCATTTGCCAAAAGTGACATAAACCCTAACTCCCTAGCATGATTTACTAGGAACCACACCCAGCCTGGCAAATTCCAACACCACATGGGAAACTGTGCACACATATTTCTGACTTTGTTTCTGGAGGTGAGCCAACCCAGGGTAAAAGACTGTCAGTTTAGGGGTACTGTACCCATCCAGACAGATTCCAACAATACATGCTGTTGGGATTTGATGGGTTGAGTTCTGTTAGGTTTAAGCCACGTACACTTCAGCTAAAGTACCTCGGAAGAGCATGGGTTAATTTGTTTAAAAGAAAAATGAAACACGCCATGTGACGCAATTTCGTGACTGTTGATGCCAATTACATTCTGTAAGAGAGGCTTACCAGTTTATGTTGTTTTGTACATTTAAAGTAATGAGTGATGTTTGTTAATTAGCTTGCTTTTTGCAGAACGAATTGTGTATCCAATGTTTCAACTCAAAAGGAAGGCATTCGACCAAAAACACTAAATTGGTTTCTAGATTCATATGTTTTGACTGATGTATTTTTTTCAGACCTAAGAAAGAGATCACCTTTGACAACTGGAACCCAATGGAGGAGGATTACAATGACAAATCGTTCAATAGCTACAACAGGGGGCCTGCAGCTGGAATCAGTGGAACGTAGGTATCCCATAATCCTAACTCCCTAGGCCATTTTGCTAGGATGTAGCCTCAATCCTGCAAAATCCTCCAATGGGCCTCATGGAAAAAAGCATATAGCCTCAATCCTGCAAATTCCTCCATTATTTCTTGAATATGGTCCGTGGAGGGGTGACCACTGCCTGAATCCTGCAAAATCCTGCGGCAGTGACTGTCAATATGTTGAGGCTTGGCCAGTGACATCCTGGAGCAGTACGGAGGATTTCAAGCATAATGCAGGCCTATATTTAGGCATGGTTGAGCAAAAACAACACTTGTAAGGTCCGGCCCAAGACCTTGACAAAGTGCATCCTACAAAATCATTAACACACTTTTGCCATGTAACCGCAATCCTCCAAATTCTTCCACTTTGGCAAAGAGTGTTTTGAAGGAATCAGGGCGGTTAGGGTTAATCCTTTGGTCCAATCCTAGTTGTATGTCTTGAGTTGTTTACTTTGATTCCTAGTTTAGCTAACTCATTTACATTCCCGTTGGATCCTGTTGGATTCAGCAGTAAACCCCTTGTACATATTCCTGTTGAAATCTGTTGGATTCAGCAGGCATCTGAAAACATTCAGACTCGGATTCTGTTGAGTACTGGTAAATAACGCCAAGTTGGACTCTGTTGGATCCAGCAGCAAACAGAAAACTCAGGCACAGTCGGATTCTGTTGGACTGAGCAGGCCAGTCATTTTATATTTTCAGGTGCCCAGCAACTCGGCAAGTTGGATTGTGTTGGACTGTGTTGGATTGAGCAGGAAACTCACATGAGTAACCGTCAGACTCTGTTGGATTCAGCAGGGTAGTCCAGTGGAACTATTAGGGGTTTAGGGTTCTATTAACAGTTACAGAACTTTGGCTGTCCCTGAGTTTGTGTTGTACATAAAGTTCTTAACACAATCTGAGGCTTCCTGATTACCTATTTTCCAAAGGAGCTATATTTGTGGCGACAGTGGCAAACTGTACATCCGAGGTCTGGTGAGGTCCTCACAAAGTTGTTACCTTGGGAATCACAGACTTGCTCTGTTCTCGTTGGGAGTTGTTTCAGGAATATTTTTTATTTGTTGTAGGAACTCCAGCCGTCCAGGAAAGACGAGGGGCAAGTTCTCCCTATTCGTGGGCAATATACCAACGGAAATGACAGAGGTATGTTAAAGATTATCTCAAACAATTATCTTAGTTCAACGGTTATTTTATCAAGCCAGATGTAAGTCTTGGAAGTTTGCGGAATTTTCCTAAAGAGGCAATTTAGTTGAACTTTAGAGCTTTCAAGAAGTTTAAGGGCGTACGAGCAGCACAGTAAATGAATTTCTTGTCTGGTTCGATTTCTCAAATAAAGTGACATAATTTTTTTGCAAGAAAACATCTGCTTGAAATTGTAGGCCATACGATGGTACTCTTCAATTTTTTTTTGGTCAAAAATGTTCCCTGACATATTTGCTAAATCACATCCCCTGACAAGGTCTGAAATATGAATTTCCAAGTTGAATTGTGACTTTTAACATTTGTTGTCAATGTTTCAGTATTAATTACAGGAAAATGTATTAACTCGGTGATGTCCACCGAAACTTTTTTTTAAATTGATTTTTTGCAGGAAGGGCTTTCAAATTTGTTCAGCCATGTGTGTGATATTCAGCACGTTACGGTCTGCAGACCCAGAGATGAAAATAGCGACACGACCTTTGGGTAAGGATTTGAGTTAATCTTCATTATTTGAATGTTGAGTTCTTCCTGATTCATGAAGAGGATAATTTTTTTTTTTTGTCCAGCAACTTTTACTTGATGTCGGGCCGAGTGCTCCTTGATGAATGCCATTACAATTGAAAACACACTGTTCAAATTCTGGTGTGGCTTGGAATTTCCTCGTTTTTTTTCTTCTAAATTTCCAGTTATATGCCTGTACAGAGTGGAGAAAAATGCCAAGGGATTCAGGGTTATTCAATTTTTGGGGGGATGAAATACCAGAACCTACAAATTAGTGCAAATACTGGACATTAATTAGTCCTAACTAAGTTAGAGACCATGTCCGTCAAAATCCATTCATTTGTAACGTTGAGGAAGGCACAGTGACAAATTTAATACCGTGTTGTGGCCTCCTGTAAGGTTTAAGTGCAAAGAATGTTCCATTTCTGTGCAGTTCTTGATTTTTGAGGACTCTGGAGGTTCCCAGCAAAAAGTGACTCGACAGCCCAGGATTAAAATTGTCCCTGGAGTACCGATAAACCATTCGTTTATTTTCACTAGCCAAAAGAAAACTTGAGCAATCCCTTTGACTGTTTTCCTCACAGATTTGTAGAGGTGCCCTCTATCAAAGATGGCGAGGAGGCAATAAAGAGACTGGATGCCCACGTCATCAGAAACAGACGCTTGAAGGTACGTTGATCACGTCGGGCTGGGATTGGATGCATGGTTTGACTGGCTTCAGACATAATTTAAATGAGCCTATCAGATTGATCCATTGTGCACTGCCCTGTGATGCTTCGACCAATCATAGCCAGATTAACCCTATCTGTTATCTGTTAGCTTCTGTATAAACGCCTAGTGTGGCTATCGTGTACAGCCTCATGGTGTATGCATGAGGATAACTGCCAGAAACACCGGGGCGAACCCCTTCTCTTAGCGATAAGTGTTTGCTGGGTTCTTTTACGTGCATTTATACAACACATAGGACCTACAGCTTTACGTCCCCTCCGAAGGACGAAGCAGTAATGGTTAAGTGCCTTGCTCAAGGGCACAAGTGTCCGGGCCCAGGCTTGAACCCACGCCACTGTTGCCTCTGAAACACCAGAGCATGAGTCCAGTGTTCTAGGCCATCTCACCCCACCTAACCCTGCCAGGCGCAATGCAGCGATCAGGTGGAAAAGTCTAGTGCACTTGGACGCTTTCAGTTGTCAACACCAGTGCATAAATGGCCAGTTCTGAAACAATCGGAGCTAATCCCATTGAACAAGGCCACAGTTCTATCTTGCTGCAGTTGTATCTTGTGTGGCATTTAGGTAGGACAAAATGATGCTTACTGCAAATAGATGTCTGTCAAATGACTACAGATTACCACGTGCATTGGCATTCGTGGAGTCGAATTTTCGTGACACAACATGCGCGCGTGTTCAGAACATTTTGCACACTGTGTGTACACATACCCAATGGCGTTAAACGCAGTTGTAATTTTCCTACGAAGATGGCTGCCCATGAGGGAGGTCTATAAAGTAGATTCCATAGAAGAATATTTTATCAAAAAATAAGTGATGAGGAAAAACTCAGTTCCACTGAATAAAATCTATGAATGTCTGGAAAAGACATAAAACATGGAAAAAAACATAAAAACTAAAGCAGATGTGTTCACTGCAGCAAATTTGTCAATCAAAGAAACTTACAACACTTGAAATAATTGGGCATTTTTTCCTTCAAACTGATCAAGGGAGACTACTTTTTGTTTGTGGTTGAACAGGTTTCATTCAAGCGGGAGAAATCCACGGCACCGATCGAGGTGCCAAACGCCAAGAGCGACTCCCCCGAGGAATGGGATCCTCCGAACCCAGGAGGCAAACCCATAAAGATGACCTTGCCAGGAAAACAGAGCGTACCCTCTGGCAAGAGAAGATCCACCAGTTCTGGGAAGACGTCTTCGAGCAATTCTGAGGCGGATGACGGTGGAAGTAAAGCAACCAGGTAATGATGCCACTGAAGCTGTCAATTTCAGATTGCTGGAGGTTACTTGCTGTGATAAATTTCCTATTTTGTTAAGATTTTCTAATTTTTTTCTAATTTCATTTCCTGTTATTTCCTCCATTTTCAGCATTCTGTACCGTAGTTATTACACTTTTGGGAGGTCTGCAGGACACTTTTTCCTTGTTTTTGGGCCGACAGTTAAATATCATGCCTGCTTACAACTAACCCACATGTTTGTTTTTTCAGGCAACCTGGAGTGATTTTCATTTCAGTTCTGGTTGAGGATGTGAAAGAGAGTAATGAATGAGCTTGAATTTTGTGAGATCAAGCTCAGTAGTTTATGTACTTGCAAGCAGGGGGTCCTAGGTTCATGTTCCATTCTATAATCAGGATAAGCCCTGCTCTTGTTGACAGATGAAGCTATATTCATTCACAGTATGTGTTTACTTTCTTAGAGTTTAAACTCTCTCCTGAAGACGGTCAGAGCATACTGATCGGAACATCGAGTTTATACCTCCAGTTCTTTTCAGAACCATTCTCTTAGTTGAGAAATTAATCCCACATGGTTTTTCCGCAAACATTTCACTCATTATACCCATTCAGGTACTTTTTCTCAAATTCATAATTCAACCTTATGTTCAAGACCGTACTCTTTTTGTGTGTGGTGTTTTCAGGAAGCCAGCACAGCCCCGTAGATTGGAAGATCGCTACGGCTCTTCCTTAAAACCCAAATCCTCAGGAGAAGAGTCGGTGAATAAGAGTCCAAGAGGCCCTGCCCGCAACCAACAGAAGAGTCCCCAGCAAGCACAGGAGCCACCGCCGGTTGATAACAAGCTTACTCATAGTCCTCTTCAGGCTCTGCTTCAGAAGATGAGAAGCCCCAACAAGAGCAGTCCGGAGACCGACGGCGTCCAGCCTGGAGGCCAAAATGTCGCAGGGGTCAAGAGTTCACCCGGGGTCAAGGGTCAGGCAGGGAGGGGTATCGGGAGAGAGATTGATTTTGACAAGTCTGTGGAGGCAACTCCTGGCAGCGGCACGAGACAGTCGCTAGCAGAGAAGCTTCACCAGGCCGGAATTATGCCAAAGAGTCAACCCCTGGATAGTTCTCACACCAATTCCAACTTGACTGGCAAGACTGAACAGGAAGGAGTGAAGAGCCATCCAGCTATAAGTAAAACAGCTCCAAAGCCTCTCTTGCCTCTTCCTGTCAAGGCAGTTGATAATCAGGCTTTCAACAACTCGGCGGGAAACGAGTCTGACCTACAGGAGAGAGGACAGGGCGATAACCCCTCAAGAAGTCTGGTCGCCAAGCATAACCCACAGGATGGATTACTTGGTCGGGCACCTGGTCTCTTGTCGCAGCCGTACGGCCAAGCGAAAAGTCCGAGTCACTGCCCTGAGTGTTCAGCTCGTGAGCACCATGAAAGCGACAGGCATGGATTCCACTCGTGCCATCACCACCACCATCTGCCTCAGCACCATCATCACCATCATGGACCCCAGCCAAGGTTCCCCTGCTCACTCTGCGAGGGGAGCTTAGAGGAAGACGAGCCCTGTCAAGTGTGTCATCACCACCCCCTGCCCAAGCCCCACCGGCCGCTGATGCACCCACAGTACCACCCAGGTCCTCGCTATGGTCCAGACCCATCTTATGGACCGAGACCCCCTTACGGTGGTTACTATCCATACGGTAGGGGTCCAGCACACCCTCTGCCGCCTGACTATCCAATGCAACATGGCTATTATGAAGGCAGGGACATGTATCAGATGGGATACCCCCAAGCCAATTTGGGATCAGCAGGGTACAGAAACAGCCGTTTCGTGGCCGGTAGGTCCAAACACCCTCCGAGTTACTTCCCACCCAAATCGCCAAACGTTCATTCTGCCCCTGTGGATGGTCCTGGCGATCAGACTACAAAGCAGCTGCCAAAGTCATCCTCGGAAACCAAAAAGAACTCCACTGGTAAAGGTATAGCCAGTGAACCAAAAGAGCCAATAGGGAAGGCCTCCACAGCTAAAGTAGATGAACCGGCAGCCGCAGAACTGGGACTTTCTACCAACAAGCAGTTTCCAGGGAAAAACCCAGCAGCAGAACATTCTCAGAAGGCGCCACCAACTGCCCAAGCAAATCAAGAGGGACAGCCTGCCGCCGCTGAGAAATCCCCTGCTGGAAAGTCAACGGCCACTGGTGGAGAAGGTCAGAGGTCATTGCACAAAGAAAGCAAACAAGGCCAACGGGGGTCATTAGATCCTAAGCCATGTGTACACTGTGGCACACCAGGTTAGACAATCATGTTTTGGTTGTGGTTTATAAATTTCTTTTATCAGACCCCCTTTTTGAGCTGGTCCTCTTTCCAAAAGGTTAAATTCATGTTTTGCACGGTAAAAAACAGATATATCTGACCTGTGGTGCTCACATCTTCACATATTTATTTAATTTTTAACGGAAATGTTGGTAGTTGGTATTTTTTTGTTAGCTTAAATGTGAAGCAGGTGACGTACACAAAAACAGCAATGAATAGGCTGGTAAGGGCGGCATAATTTTAGGGTCGGCACAACTTTGGTGGGGCTGCATGAAATCTGAGCTGGATGGCCTGCAGAACACTGAAGTAAGTTTGCATCTGAAAGCCTTGGCAGGCACCATGTGTTGCCCCAAACAACCCTCAAATGCAGCTCTATGAGATTGTCGTCTGAGCTTTGAAACTTTGCCACCATTGAGAAAATTACAGGATTTGATTGTACTCATAAGTTGGAAATGGCATTGGGGTGATGTGAAATTCAATCTTGGGTGGTTTGCCCTTCACCGACGTATAAACACTGTATGCTCAGTGTGTTACACCAAGCAAAAGTGGGAAAATCACTCGGGTGGGGCTCAAACACACGACCTCCTGCTTTCTAGTGCAGACGTCTTACCAGTCGATTCAACATTAATAGGTTTTGCTCTTTCTCTCAAAGGGGGGAGGGGGGTGCACACTGAGTATACAGTGTTTGTAGTTGGTGAAGGGCAAACCTAATGTTGAATTTGCATCACCCCGACGCAAATTCCATCTTATGAATAGTTTCATTGCGGTAGCCGCTGCTACATCAGATTCAAACCAGCCAGCCGATCCCGGCAAGCTAGGTGGTTGAGTGGTAAGACTTCTGCACTAGAAAGCAGGAGGTCATGGGTTAGTCCCACCTGAATGATTGTTTTCTCATTCCACCGGGGGGGGGGGGGGTAATGGATGTGGGTTTACACACTGAGTATACAGTGTTTATACGTTGGTGAAGATCAAAACCTAATATTGAAGGAAGTGATTGATTTTACATAAAATTAACTCAATTTTCACCTTCTAGGTCTGCTTCGCTGTAGTAATTGCAAGTGCACATACTGCTCCAAAGAATGCCAGAAGGACAACTGGCCGACCCACAAGCATCAGTGTCACAAGGTCAACAGCAGCAAAGGGTAAGTAACAAGCGATCTCATTGGATGATACCAGTTTGAATTTGGTCTTAGGTCCAGAATCTTCACCAAATAACGATACAGTAAACAATGTTTGCATAATTGTTTTCTTCTTTTTAGATCCTCTACCGCTTCCAGCGTAGTGAGTGTTGATTCCTTTCCGACCAAACAGCCTAGAAAGTCCACAGAACTTCTTCACGGTGGGACGGAGGGGCAGTTTATGGCCCGCAACTTGCCGTACGAGACCCCCGAAAATCCAGAGATGAGGGTACGGTAAACCGTAGCTTAAACGCCCAATTCAGCTTGGTGTTGTAGGGTTATGACAAACCAAATTATTTCAAAGATAGGGCTTCACAATTCTGAATAATTTAGTATTCGATTAATCCAACTTTGCCTTGATCGAGTCTTCAAATATGTGACCTGCCATGGCATAATGAGGAATAACTCCCACCCTGACTTTTTTTGAGATTTATATGCCATGTAAAAAAAGCAACTCTGTAGCTTTCTAATGATACCAAATTTATTTCTGTAGCTCAATTAATTCCAAAGATATGCCGCGAGAAAGTCGGTAGTGCATCGCATGAACATACTTCAGAAACAGTTAGGTTTTTTCTTTTTGGGGGGGGGGGGGGATTTTTCACAACCAAAATGCAAAGTGTGAATCTTCGATACCGTGGCTACTCAAAAAAAAAAATTTGATTTAGACATGATTTTTCATATATGTGCAACTTCGGGCATCGATGACTTAAAACAAGGTTTTGGGAGACATTCCACGTTTAGCCTCAGTAGGTCACATATTTGAAATGCTCTGATAAGTTTTGAGTCCATGAAAACTTTGACATTTGAAACAATTAATAGTTCTCATCATTTTCAAGTGTACTTTTTGTTGGCTGTTTTTTATTTGTAGGTTCTTGTGACTGAAGTTGTTGACCCCAGTGAACTCTGGGTACAGCTAGTGCAGGAACGCAGCATGGAAGGCTTCTCTAACATTGTTGAGATGCTTCACAGCGTCTACACAGACCCTGCCCAGGCCGCACAGCTCAGTTACATAGCAATGGTGAGTCAACATGTTTGTCTAAACCTTTTGAAAATAGTTCGGAAAAAAATCAACGTTTAAACGTCGTCAACTTGGCTCTAAAAAAAAAAATCTTTCAAAACTTTTTGAAGTGTCTGATAAATCAACTGAATTATTCAAAGTTTCAGTTACAAAGCAATGGTGAATCAACATTTTAAGCTTGTCAACTTGGCTCTGAACAAAAATCTTTTAAAACTTTCTGAAGTATCTGATAAATCAACTGAATTATTTTAAGTTTATTTTCCAGATATCAACTTCATTTTTACCACAAGTATTGTCAACTCAAGTTTATCTTGAGTGAGTTTAGATTCATCTCTTTTCAGCAGTTTGCAAAAGAGAAGTAACATGTTCATGAAGAATTTTATAATGTGTGCATTGGTGACAGGTACTTTTGTGTAAAATGTAAAACAAAGTACGCCTGGTTGTTTTCTATGATAGGGTATAATTTTAATGAAGAAAGGCAAGAAAGAAAAATTATCAATAGAAATTAATTGCTCTGCTATTTGCAATCATTGTCCTCTCAAAGTTTCTTTGGGTGACTTCCTTTCTCTTCATAGTCTTTCCTGCACACTCTCCTTGCAAATTCCTAAATCCTACATTTTCTATTTTGCCATTGCATCTAGGTTGGCGGAGTTTGTGCCGTCCCGTACTCGCAGGACGGCCACTGGTACCGTGCCGAGGTGGTGTCCGTCAACGATGCCATGTGCACCGTTCGTCTGATTGATTTCGGGAACATGGACGTCGTGGCTGTCGACAGCCTGCGTAGACTGCAGGATGCCATGCTCAAGTTGCCCAAACAGGTATGAAGAAAGAGAATTCAAAGTAGTTTCTCTCCCTTCTACAAAATCTTTGACGTAATTACTGTGACTCCACTCTGCATTTTCCATAGTGCATAGAAGAATAGACGAATCCGAATACACACACAAGGCTTGTGCATTGCTATGCCCCGTGACAGATTATCTGAACTATAGCTAGCACAAGCCTTTTGCCATTGAATGGGACCTCTGTCGTGGAAGGGACAGCTTGCCTAGATTGGTCTATGAGAATAGTGCACAATACACTGAATGACGGCACTTACCAGCATTTTTCAAGTGTCCTTCATTGTCCATGCGGCCCTACCTGACAAAATGCCTCTGGTAGTGTCATAAATAAATTTACTACTCGGACACAAACATTTTACTTTCGCAAGCAATCCAAAGAAAAAAAAGACGAAATGCATTACTTTGTCATTGTTATTATAAGATGGAATTTTTGCGCCGGGGTGATACAAATCAAATTAGGTTTTGCCCTTCACCAACGTTTAAACACTGTATACTCAGTGTGTTACCTCCTGAGTGAAAGTTGGAAAAAATCACTCGGGTGGGACTCGAACCCACGACCTCCTGCTTTCTAGTGCAGATGCACTAGAAAGCAGGAGGTCGTGGGTTCGAAAAGCAGGAGGTCGTGGGTTCGAGTCCCACCCGAGTGATTTTTTCGGTGAAGGGCAAAACCAAATTTGATTTGTCATTGTTTATCCCCTGTTATTTGAAACCTGACTTATGTTGTGATTTGACTTGTTATTTAAATTGTGACGGACTTGTGATTTGATTTGCCATGGATTTGATAACAATTCACAACAGTTCCCGCAGGGAGACTTGAAATTCCGCTGACAATATTGTCGCTTTTATCCAGGCCCTGAAGTGCTTCCTGAGTGACATCAAGCCCCCGCAGGGAACATGGTCCCCAGAAGCCACCCAGATGCTCAAGTCACTGATCAACAAGGATGAGGACTGCACCAGGGCAAAGTTCAGAGGTCAGGGTGCAAAAGGTCAAGAGATTGAGCTGTACAGTGCGGAGGATGACAGTAAGTACTTGCACCAGTGCGATCTTTCCTTGCCAAGTTGGTAGGGATAATCAGGCTAGATCACATCAATGGTTTAATGACAATGAAATTTATCCCCTTGAACAGGACTCCAGTCTGTCATGGGTTACTCCCTGCATCCTAACTAATTCTGTCACCTGGATAGGATGAAGTCCCTCCTGTGCTCAGTGACAATCTGTAAAACGTTACCCTATATTTCAAAGACAATCAGGTGTCATATTTTACCATATCTGCAAACTGCCCTCATATTGGTACAATTGACCCATTTTAAAATGGCTGCTACACAAGCTGTACCTGTATTAGTAGGCGTGTTCATCTTTTCAAATCGTGGACGAAATATACCGAAGAACAAAAGAGAACAATATCGTCCACGATTGAGGTCGTTGCAAAACCTATGGGAGTCTTCAAACAAAAGAGTACAAACAAAAGAGGGACAATAGGATGTCCACGATCGACGTATGGTCATATCATCTGCCAAACCACCCAAATAGGCTCTGACAGTTGTACAGTAAAATCCATAGGGATTTGTGGCAGTTGGAGAGCAGCATGGACAAAAACTTTCAAGAGCGGTGGGGGTTAGAGTTTGTAACAGTTTGTGCTAGTTATAAGTATAGGAGGGTTTTAAAGAATAGAATATCATTATAGTACCTCATTGTACATTGAGTACCTAATAGTTGGTAGATACGTGCGCTATATAAGATCCGATATTATTATTATTATTATTATTACCATTATTACCATTATGGTGGTACCTGGCAAAACGGGGAGATCTTAAGCCAACTGGCAATTTTGTTAAGAACTTTCTTATTTAAAGGTTGTTTTTTTCCTGATACTTCCCCCAGCAAAGACTCTTTCATCAATCCTGATCTCCGCTGGTCTAGCAGAAGCAATCAGCAGCTCCGTCCCGAGCAAACCAACCAGTGACCCAGTGACGGTGACCCCTGACCCCTCCCCTAGCCTGGGCTGGGTCTTGGATAGCCTAGCAGTAGGTAGTCACCTGGATGTCATCGTGAGTCATGTGGATAGCCCAGGCTGCTTCTGTGCCTACCTGTTTGAGAGCGCTCTGGCCTTGCTGGAATTGCAGCAGGAGATGAATGCGCACTATGCTGGGGTGCCACCGAAAGCTGGATTCAGGTAGGCGTGGATGGGAAAGGCGGCATAGCATTTGCACGAACTCTTTACAGTTGAACTTACATTGGAAAAGTACAGACGCAGTAACATACTGAAAATGGGAAAGTTAGAACATTTTACAGGGACTTCTTGAACTGTTGAGTTAAAGTGGGACTCTTTTTGTAGTCAAAATTGGCAGTTATTGCTTGTCTATTTCCAGAAAAAGAGGCTCATGAAGCCTGTTTTCTTGATTTGAATAATTATTTTTGTTAATTTTTCCCCGTTTTTTTTTGCAGACCTGGTAAAGATGTACTCTGTGCTGCTAAGTACAATGTAGATGATAACTGGTATAGAGCAATCATCGTCGAACCAGCTAGTCCTCCCCTCAACACACTGCAGATCACTTTCATTGATCACGGCAACAGCGAGACGATCAACCTGGATGACTGCCGCCCTCTAGAGGCACAATTTTTTACGCTCCCCAGACAGGCCATCCCGTGCGGCCTGGCCGGCGTCCAGCCCAACGTGTCCGATTGGCCGGAAGAGATGACGGCCGCTTTCAAGGAATGGTTGGCAGATGGCCAGGCCAGGGTCGGGATCAAGGCTAAAAGCGACAGCCAACTCCAAGTGGAGATCTTCCTGCCTCATCGGGAAGACGACCCAGGTACGGGCATCTCATTCAATGCCTTGCTGCAGCATTCCGGCTTCGGCAACGACGAGGAGGCGGGCGTGGACAAGAAGTCGAACGATCCAGTCTCGGCAAATGAGATGCCTACCTCGGCCAAGGAAGCAGTCGTTGACGATACGAGGAGGGGCTTGCCTGTCACCGAGCCTCCACAGGGCGAGGTCCATGGGTTTGTGACCGTCGTGAACGACCCCGGCGATTTCTACTTGCAGGTTGACAGTGACCAGAACAGGGAGGCTTTCCAGTCTCTGTCGGAGCACCTCAACACAAGATACGCGTTGCAGGACTTTGCTCCGTACAAACCAAGCATTGGGGAATACTGTGCCGTCATTTACTCCGATGATGCATGGTACAGGGCCCTGGTTGTGGACAAGGTGGCCCCGGAATCAGCATTCAAAGTCTTACTGGTCGACTACGGAGAAGTGGGGGTTCTCCCAGCCGACAAAATCAGACAACTCGAGGACAGATTCTACAAGCAGCCAGCGATGGCCCTACATTGTAGTTTGACGTGTGTGATGGCGCCCTCTAGTAACGCCGGAACGTGGAACGAAGCAGCAACAAAACATTTCAAAGAGAAGGTACACTTACTCAAAATTAAGCACGTGCATTAATCTCTTGCACTTCCCAGGGGATTAATATTTGTTGAATGTAAGTGATAAGTTATTATGTTTGTACTAGACCAGTTCATGCCGGGATTATTTTGACAAAACAGAAGAAGGCGCGGGGTTCCTTTTCACTCAACCAGGCCAGGCAGGTTGAAGCCATCAGCCTTGGGCAGCACACTCGTATTTCCGGCCTCGCTCGCTGCAAGTAGGTCACTGCCAGATATTTCCGGCCTCGCCCCCTGGATGTTTATCTGTCATCTGTTCCGAGTAACATAACCTTTGCGGGTATACAAGTCATCCAACGTGAACTGCTTGATAGCCCTTGTACATGTACGTTTTTACCATTGCACATTTTAACCATGCTCAATCCTTTATCTTTCAGTTTCAAATAAATTGATAAAATCTCGTTATTTCAGGCGTTGAACCAGTTGTGCCAAGTCATTGTTGTGAAATGTGAGGATGGCAAGTGTGACGTTGAGCTCCTGTATCCAGGCAAAAACATGAATGAGCTGCCATCGGTCAAGAGAGATCTTATCCAAAAGGGTTGGGCAGTGCCTAAGGGCGCCCCATCATCCAATCAGGTCCATGCAAGTGGATCAGGTGATCGCCAGGTAGCCAATCCAAATGCTGCAACCAAGGGGAGTACTGGAGTGGGTAGGTCTCCCACTCCGCCACCAACCAATCCCACCGTGCCTCACTCGCCATCGACCAATCAGAGTGTCTGTTCTTTGCCGGCGCCAAAAGTACCCGCAGAAGACTTCTTCGGGTTGGTCACCGTGGTAAGTGATCGCGGCGATGTGTACATTCAGGTTATGAGTGAGGAAAACGCAGAGGCCACGGAGTCGTTAACTCTCAACCTGTACGAACATTATAGTCAGGCGCCGCAGCGCCCTCTCAAGGCCAACATTGGCGAGTTCTGCGCGGTCAAATACAGAGAGGACGACTCGTGGTGCAGGGGGAAAGTTGTGGGCTGCTTGACCCAGGATTCTACCTTGGAGGTCCTGTTTGTGGATTATGGCAACACGGAAATTGTTTCCTCGGAAGATGTCATGAAACTTCAGGAGAAGTTCTTGGGGATTCCCATATGTGCCCTCCGATGCCGCTTGAATGGTGTAACAGCGCCCTCTACAGGTGTCGTATGGCCGAGCGAGGCAGTAAATTTTCTCAAAAAAGAGGTGAGTGTCTTTTAACATTTGTAACAAAATTTGGAATAAAAGGCTCTGTGTGCTAGATGGAGTCGGTTGTGTTTGGCCTTGGTTCGAACCTCACCAGGGCGAAAATGTGGATTTTCTGTGATATTCAAAAATGTATTGGGAAAATCTTTCCTCAATTGAAATTGTATTTTTTTTCTAATAACAGATCCTTGAGAAAGCCTGCAAGGTTCACGTTTGCAAGAACGATGGGGAGGTTTGTCAGGTGGAGCTTCAGTACTCCAATGATGATGTCAGCTGGTTCTCCGTCAACAAGGAGCTAATCGACAGGGGATTGGCTAAGCCAATCACAACCCAGAGCCACTCCCCTGGACCGTCAGGTGATCACCCCTTGGCCAATCAGGAGCAGCTTAACAAAAGCCATCCCGTGTTGACCAATGAGAGTGTGCCCCAGCTGCAAGCACAAGCAGCTCAAAACCCAAGCAGTGGTGTCCAAGAAGCGTCGGCCAATCAGAGAGCAGATGTGAGGTCAGGTGGTCAAGTAGAGGCGGCACCAGCCAATAAGCTCCTTGATAGCGAGCCGCCTCCGGCAGAGTTCACAGGAGTCCTGACCAGCGTGAACCACCCCTGCGACTTCTACCTGCAGATCAAGAACGAGGACTACATCCAGCTCAGCCAGCTGCTGCGAGAGGAACTCAACCAGCACTATCCACGCAAGGACGAGCCCCCTCACGTGCCGAGAGTCGGAAAGCTGTGCGCCGCCATGTACAGCGCTGACGAGGAGTGGTACAGGGCCCTGGCCCTGGTGGAGGTGGCCCCTAAACAAGCGTTCAAGGTCATGTTTGTGGACTACGGCAATTGCGAGGTGGTGCCCTTGGACCGACTGCAGAAGTTGGAGGGCATCTTTCTTGAAGTGCCACGCCTCTCGCACCACTGCTGTTTGAGCGGTGTGATGGCGCCCTCTGGGGATGACCACAGACAACAGTCTGCAGAGGCAGCGCTGTTCATTGTAACCGAGGTTTGTATGAAGAATTTCATCCGAGTACGTCTAGACTAAGAATTAACAGAACTAAATACAAACATATTCAGTTTTGATTGGATATTTTGTTGGAACAGCCATCTTTGAATCACAGAGGTTTGGAATGATTTAAAACATCCTCAACATCAACAAAATTAGGAATAATTGTGTAAAATCATTGGCATGGGATTGGCTTTCATTAAAATTGTGTGTACATCTATTCATGTGACCATGGGAAAATTTAATATGTAAAGGTTTTTGTTACAGATTTTTTTAAACTGTGAGGGACCTGTTCTATTTCAAACTTTTTTTTTCTGAAATAGCTGATCGAGAAGGGCAAGGATTGCCGGGTCAAGTTGATGAAACACGATGCGAAAATGTGTGAGGTGGAGCTTCATTACTCCAGTGATGACGGCACGCAGAGCTACAATCTGAAGGAGGAGTTAATCCGACGGGGATTGGCCAGGCCTGCTGCTATGGCAACTGCTCAAAACAAAGGTAATTTGGAAATTGAACTAGCTAAATCGCAAGTTTGTAGAATTTCAATCTTCACTACAAGTGACCTCTTTATTCCTGACACCTTTATTTATGTTGTGAAAGTTGTGAATTGAAAAAGCCGTTCAAAATCAGGACCCTTTTAACTTACGATTTACACTGAGACAGTGCTACCTTTCAATGGGATTTTATGCTTGTAGATTGTGTCCTTCTCAGGCATGATAATCTTCCTATTTAAACAGAAATTCTTGTTTTTTGTAGCCCAAAATTTCCGCGTTTTTATTTGTTTTGAGCCTGTTTTGGGGCTTTTTTGCCTGATTTCACATCTTTTTTTTCTGTTTTTGGCACAAGTTTCCTGGGTTTTTTTTACTGAAATATATTATCTTGCCTGCTTTGTCCAAGTTGGAATAACAAAGTGCACATCATGTTTGGAGTATTTCAACCGACGCTACCGTTGATAATGTTAAATCACGATGGTTGAAATTATTTGGCCCTGAATTTACCGAGGAGAAACTTGGCCAAGTAAGAATACTATGTATTTGAAGAAAATTAAGGCCATCCCAACATGGGCATTAGCCTTTACTTGGTGGTAAATAGATCCCGTAAACATAAACTGAATTAACTAATCAATCCCATGTATAAGGAGGAAATTAAGGCAGTCCCCACATGGGCAGTAGTCCCAACATGGGCAGCAGTCCCAACATGGTCATAAATTTGGTCAAGTAAACATGGGGTATTTTTTCACTGAAAGTCAGTTTTACTTTAAAAATTAATTGCAAATATGACTTAACATTTGTCAGTCTTTTTTCGTTCTTGACTCTAGAGTCTGCCCAACCAAATGTTGTTTGCTGACTTTTTTTTCTGCCTTGTTGCAGAGAACCGCCTGCTTGCAAGAACTCTGCAGAGGGCAACCCTGCCAACCGACGCCAACATTGCCGTCACAGTGACAGATGTAGTGAGCCCTCAAGAGTTCTACTGCCAGATGATCATTAGAGAAGAAAGTAAGAAATGTTCACATGTCCATTTTTTTGTGAACGCTCTCCGAGTTTCCTGACAACTGTTTTAAACAAACTGGATCAGAGGCGTAAATCCATGGGGGGGGGGGTGGTATATATCCCCCTCCCACTTTTAGGCCAGGGGGGATGGCTATTGCATCACCCCCCCCCCACGCTTTTTCGTGATGAGAAAAACAAAATGCGAATTTTGAGGTATTTTTTCGAACGTCCCAACAACCCAAATGTATATAATAGCACTGAGAAGTAGACAAACAAAATACAAAAGCTTTTAAAATGCACAGTTTTGATGTAAGCGTGAGTGTATATGTTGATATACATCTATATCCTGAAGAGCGCCCCCTAGTGTAATGTGGTGTCTAGCCCCCCCCCCTCCTGCTTTTCGAATTTCCAATAACAACAAGAAAACAATAGACCTAAGACATAATGACATCATGTTTTGTTTACATGTGCGCTTTCCTATGGAAGCCAGGTGGGGCAGAGATCCACCAAGCTCCCATAGGAAAGCGCACATGTTAACTAAACGTGACATCATTATGTCTTACGTCTATGGGTAATGTAAGATTTGAATATTCATAGCCGAGCAGTCAATCTGTCAGAGGATAGGTTATTGAACCATTGCATCCATGCTGGAGTCAAGACCCCGTCTTCCGGTTTTGGAAAACAAAATCTTGAGAAACGTGTTGGGATTGCCAACAATTTGACAATTTAGGAGAGCAGTATGTTTTGACCAAACAAAAAAAATGTTTTAGATGTTTGCAAAAAAGTTTCACAAAAATGATTTTGTTTCTTGCTAGTTGACAAGCTGAAGTCCCTGATGGAAGACATCGCAGCAGCGGCTGGGAATCGACGCCTGACGGCCCCTCCTGCCATCGGCGATCTGTGCTTGGCCAAGTTCACAGGTAAGAGCTCCGAGACATATGTGCTGGTCCCAGAGAGCTGGTGTAGTGTCCTCTTTCTGTCTATCTCGCTGACTCACTATCACTTGAGAGCCGGGCAGTGCTATCGTATAGGATTACCCCGTAATGCCATTTTTGACTGTGTTCCCTGAATGCATTTTATAAATTGCAAACTATTGAATGGGATGGTACCAGACTATTTCGTGATTGGAATGTGTGCCAGGCCTCACTGTCAATTTATTTTTAAATGTGGCTTAAAACATTAGGGTATATTTTAATCACAAATTTTAAATTATTCTTTTCTATTCGCAGTTCCAAAAAATGAAGATTTGACCCTGCTTTCAATTTAATATGGCCGACTTGTGAATAAGGCCTATCCAGCCAGTCATGTAGACCAGATTTTTGTTTTTCACTTTTTTTCCAAAAGCTATTGATTTAGAAACTAATTTTTATTTTTTTTGTGGTGGAGGGGGGGGGGAGTGGGATGGGTTGAAACTCTTATAAATCATTATGTTACATCTTTAACCATTTTTTATTTTTAATAGAAGACGATGTTTGGTACCGGGCTGAAATCCTCAAGATCAACCAGGCCAAGCAGCGAGCTCTTGTTTATTACGTCGACTTCGGTAACAAGGAGCCGTTGCCTTGGTCGCGACTGCTGACCGTCGACAGCAAATTTGCCAAGCTGCCCATGCAGGCAATACGATGCGGATTTCAAGGTAATATATAACTTTAATAGGCTATATTGTTGAGTGAATGGGGCTAGTATTATTGTAATGTTGCAGCTTTACTTTAATTTTAAATTTAAACACTGTAAAAGTTTAATTTCCGAAATATTCTGGCATATCAACTCACATTTATAATCTGGAATTCACGTCTTTTCATTCCCTCAAATTGGTGTCATTACGGTCCGCTGATCGCTTATAAAAATGTGTTGTATCAGAGCATTATATTCCAACAATTTAATCAGGCTTTTATGAATAGTTTTTGTCATGCAGCACCGAAAAAAATTTTTTTCTCCGTTTCTCATGACAAGGTGTGTCACCGGACACGGCGGCTGATGAGAAGACTAGATTGGCCCTGCGGAATCTGATGACAGACCACACGAATGCCAAGCGCATGCTTACAAGGATGTGCGGTATGTCAGGGAACGGGACGACGTCCCTGGTCACGTTGGTCGACGAAGAAAGCGGCACGGACATCGCTCAGGTAAATCACATTCTGGAATCGTTTTGCCACTGTTCTCAACTGAAAAACTGAGCTCCAGATTTTTATGGACAGTTAACCCATTCCTATTGATCGAGAGCCTGTTCTCACGTGTTTAAAGTTTGTAATTAACAATGCTACCTTAAAATTTCTGCTATGATTTTTACATCTGGTTTCTGGACTTCTGGATCTGTTTCAGCTTGTTAAAGATCATGCCATGGCAGGGGCCAGCCCCGGCCCGACAACCAAGAGCCCACTGCCCGTCTCTGCCACCTCTCCCGCTGGCCCAGTGGTATCACCCAAGGCCGCGACCTCTGACCCCGCCAAGCGGGAAGCCCTGAAGCGAGAGATGGAGTTGAAGAAGAGGCAGTTGGAGGAACAGATTGAAGCCCAGCGACGCGAGCTGGCGGAGGTTGAACAATTGAGGGCTAGTCTAGAGCAGGGTCTCTGAAAAAAACCAACATGTCTTCTCCAGGGTCAGTTGAGTGTTAAAAAGTCGAATTCCAGAAAACTGCTGCATATTTTTGTTCTCAGTTAGTTAGAATGTTGAAACTAGTAGTAGGAGAAATCAGAGATTTCAAAATTTGGTTATCCTTTTTTTTCCCAAACTGAATCAAAAAGAACACACAAAAAAAATACGAGAGCTATAATTGGGTTCCTACCGAATTGAATTTTAAAAATAATACAAGAAAACAAGTTTTCATAATTTTTTCTTTCAATTATTTCAAGAAGCTGCATTTTGAAAAAAAAAAACAGTTAATTGTTGTTTCAAACTGTTGATTTGAGAAGAAAGAGTTGAATTTCTGATAACTTTTCGTTTATATACTTTCAGGACATCTCTCAAATCTTTTTTTTTGGCATGGATGTTCGTAGCCTTTAAAAAAACAAACATTTGACTCAAAGATCTGTTTTTATTGGCTAAAGGCTAGCCAGTCATATAGAATTTCAAAACTACGAACTATCAAAAGATCGATATTTCATTTCAGTTCTTTTTTTGTGTATTAGTTCTCAGGGTTTGAGAGACTTACAAAAGGGAATTTAATTTGATTCCTTTGTTGAGCTCCAAATTTGAAAAATAGTGTAATGCAGTAGCTTATCTTGTAGGCATTTATTCTTTTAAGATTAGTACTTAGCTTTTTGTAACTAACTTCTTTTTTTCTGGTTGAAGTAGATAAGGCCCAGATAGAATTACTTCTGCTTCCGGTTCATACCTGAAAGGCCCTATTTTTTGTTGGGCAGTTTCCCTGCAAGACTAACGACACTAGCGTTATGCGTTTAATGGTGTGCACAACTTAAATTCTCCATTTTGGTCCACAAAATGAATTTTTACAAATCAACAATTTACCGGTAGTCTTACTTTTTTCTCATTGTCTTACTGTCCTGTACTGAAACAACAATGAATCACTGAAAGCAGAGAAGTAAACCAAAGCACCCCCCCCCCAAAAAAAACCCCAAACAAACAACAAATTCTGGTGATTTTTTTGTGCTTCCTTCCTTGTACTCGGAAGCAGATGTATTTTTTCTTGACCTTAAAAAAAAGTAGCAAAACTAGAGTTCTTTGTTCGGCCAATTAATTGCCATGAGTTAAAATTAACAATGTTTAACAATATATCTATTGGATTGTATGATATGTTAGGAATAAGACGGCACTGCAGTGGAAAGTGAAGGAAAAGAGGAATTGTCCCCCCCCCCACAAGCCCACCGACAACAAAAGGGGAACAATTGTGAATAACAAATATGAAAGCAGCCAAAGTCATTTTTTTAACCCTGATGTAACATGAAGCATGCTATGGGCTCCGGGCGCGAACACAAGAGAGGGCACTGTTTGACCACTTTTGAGAGTCCAGTGGACGCTTATTTTTTTTTTGCAGCATACATTGCACTGCGCAGTGTTTACAAAAAAAAAAATTTGCAACAACTCGTCAATTGCTGCCCTTTGGGCAGCAGGTACTTTCCCGCACTACACAAGACCCAATTCATAGCAATACAACAGAAAGCCACGTGCCAGACAGTGTCCAGACAGTTGCCAGACAGTGCGCTGGAAAGATAATTGACTGGCGGCTGTGGTATGCAGTTATGAAGGGAGATGACTGTGTCAAGTTACAGGTCTTTGTTAATGTTTCAATGAGACTTGGCAGGAGGCCTGGTCGAAAGTTTGTTGACACGGCCTGGGTGCAGCCCTGGCTGCAAAGTTCATTGAACCAGCTTATTTGGCAAGGGTCGAATGAGGATTAGATGGAAGGTGACCATCATTGGCCCTCAATTTTTTTTTTTTTTTAAATTTGGTTACCTGGGGCCCAAAGGGCAGTAGGACACTCTGTGCAAGGTTAACCAAACACATCAAGCACCATAATATGAATAACTTATGCTGTGTGGATGGAAGACACTTAGGATCTGCGTGTTCTCGTAGTGTTTTCCCTTCAATTAAACTTATCCCAACCAACAAAAACATTTGATGAAAATGGACATGGGTTCGAACCACAGATCTTGCAATCCATAGCTCATTCCACTTTTCCACTTGGCCACTGTGGCAGCTCGACGAAAGACGTTCTTTGAAATGCTTTAATGCTCATGCATGACTGAGTGGTGTGACGTAATTTTTTTTTTTTATGAATAAACATCGCACTAGCTGAATAATCATGATCCATTGACGGTTTGTGCTGCACTATGAAAACACTGCCAACGGGACACAGTGCGTTGGCGTACTGGTTTGCGTTCGTGTAGCACAAAGTACGAACAATTAATTGTATTTTGAATGTGCACACATCCACAGCGTCTTCACGCGAGCGTCAGGCGTCGTCAACAGTGCGAATGTCTCTCCCAGTGGTCTGTACAAATTCACCCTTTCTCTCCGTGGAGGGGGTACATGTGCACGAAGCACGGAAAGAATGTTGCATCCTGACGCCACTGTTTTCATCATATATTATCTCAATGAAGGTGGTGGAATTGTTGAAAAGATATGAATCTGCTGGAACTAAGAGCAGCCATGCAACTTTTCCTCGAATCCGCTGATTTCCTCGTTGTTGTTTTTTTTTAAACTTCTGATGAATGCCATTACAAATAAAAAAATACTGTACAAAAGCTTGTGTGGTTTGGAATGTCCTTGTTTTTTTCTAAATTCCCAGTTGCATGCCTGTTATTGTTAGAGACATATTCGAATTTTGTTAGAAAATACACTCAACTCTCCAAAGACTTTGTAGGCAACCAAAGAAGTGGCGTCTGGATACTTCAACTTCATTCTTTCCCACAGTTCATGTGTTGTGGAAAAGAAAAATCATTTACAAAAATTACAATAATAAAACTTGTTTATTGTTTATCTAGTACAGGCAAAACCAGCCAAATTGGAAACACGAGTCCATGGAGAATGGTGAAGCAAAAAAATTGGTTTTATTGAGACGTGTGAGATTTTATTTTGGTCTTTCTATTTTTCTATTTTTCTACATTGCCCTAGCATAAATTGCCTTTGATGATAATGGAAATTTGTGTGTAGTTTTGATAGCATTATTAGAAAACCGTTTCAAGAGAAATAGTTTGCATTGAATTCTGCTTAAAAAAAGACATTGCATCTAATCATGGATCGAAAATCAAAGCCTTTGACAGAATATCAGACATCGAATAAACTTTCCTTGAAACTGTTTGCGATCATTCAAATACATTGAGACTGACAGTTTCGCCACATCATAGGGCTCTGTGTCACACTATAAACTAAAAGCCCCTTGTATTACGTACAGTTATTCAGCGAGGCTTTTTGTCAGAGGCTTTTCATCAATTTAACAAATGGTATGTCATTGTTTCCCCACTTCACAGTGTACAGGCAGCCTTCACATTACTTTTATTCTTTAAACTTGTTCTTTCAAATATTGAAACAGATGGTGTTTCTTCTTGTTTGTATTTATGTGGAATTATTTTTTTTATACCTCTCATTATGTTTATTTTCTGTAGTCCCCGAGATTGGACATAAGACTAATAAGTAATAAATTGCAGGGGTTTAACATTTCTAGCATGCACACACAAAGAACAGGAAATTAGGATGGAAACTGTTAATAATTTTGATCAGGATTTTTTTTTTTTGGCTATCATCAGCCAAATTTTAAAGTTGTCTTCATATGCTCCAACTTTGATGACGTTTTTTGCATTAAAAAAAAAAAAGACATAAAAAATATTAGTTGATTGTAAGCACATGTATTCTTAAAACTATGTTTTGCTAAAATGTATTATTAGATATTTTATTAACTCGTTAAAAATTACAGTTGCAGTTTAAGAGCAAAGAAATAAAAGTTCATTATGTTGTCTTGTTCACTTGGAGAGGTAGCATTTGTCTGCTCCTGTTTTCAACGCTTCTTACATCACCTCTTTGTTTCAGTTGCGCAATACTTCATCTTCTTGTACCATGGCAGGGCCATGCATATCTTGCTATTTTTTAAACGTGCAGCAGACTATGTTACACTTACTGAGGTAAGGCAGTATTTTGAAGTTCAGAAAACAATTCAGGAGAATTAATTTGTTATTAGTCTTGTAGATGCCACACACAGAATCTTCTCCACAGGTTTGTTATACTTTCACAAACATTGGAATTTTAGAATCAAAGCATGTTTTTTCCAAAACATTTTAACAACTTTAAAAGCTGAGAGTGAGAATTTGCCAATGGAGCTAATAATCACAACTAATATGAGCACGAAGCTCCAACGTTGTTTGGTCGGAGCCCTCAATTTTGGAAGCTAGACACTCTGTGGTGCAATCTGGGGCAATTTCTGACCACTTTAACCAATTTCTCTTGAGCAAAAGATCATCATTTGAACCTCATTTTCGATTTTATATTTTTCATTTTTCAATTATTTTGTATGTATTGTGCATAATGGCAATGATGTTATGATATGTATGTGCCAGACATTTAAGGAGATGTAAATTTCTGTCTAGGTTTTATTTGAGGAGCTTCGTCTTGACAAGAAGTATCGGGGTCGGAAACTTGCCTGGAGGAATGTGCTGTACCTGAAATCAACATCTGAAAAAGTGGTAAGTACTGGATCTTTGTTATTGTGATTACTTTCTTTACAGTCAAAATTACTGTAATTGATTAAGTGCTTATTAATCGTTTCAAAATTGTCATTGTTTTCATGGCCATTTTTGTAGACTTTCATCATCATAACACCCCTGTCATTATTGTCTTCATTGTTATTGTGATATTGTCAATAGTCAGTCGTCAGATTTCAGTCTCATCAATCTTCAATCATCGGTCAAATCATCAATTGTCAAACATTCTTGCTGTGACCATACTTGACATTGTTATTGTTATTGCCGTTGTCATTGTCATTACCATTGTCGTTTGTTTGTCATCGATGTTGTCATTGCCATTGCAACTGCCATTGTCATTGTAATTGCATTGTCATTTTCATTACCATAGCCCGCTATTGCCATTGCCATTGTTATCACCATGGTCATTTTCATGGTGACTATCATTGTCATTTCCCTTATCACCATTGTCACCACACCATCACAAAAAATACCTTTCTCTTTCTGCTTCGCTCTTATATCATTTATTCCTCATTCTAGTTGCTCAAGCTGCAAGACTTGCACCCCTTGCCCAAATTAGTGCTTCAGTACAGACAGGTAAGATCTTTGCTTGTCCATCATTTGTCCTCTTGTCTGCTTGTCTGATTTCTTTTTCATTCTCACTAACTGAGCCAACCTGACGTAGACCTCACCAAAGCAACTTTGTAACTTTTCTGTACAAATAATTTCAGCATATTTTGTTCTGAATCAGTTGTTTATGTTATTAATAATACACATTTAATTCATGGTAACAAAAATATGCTGAATAGTCATATTTAGTGTCTTAAATTCCTGCAAATTTGAGTAAATATATGATTTTGAGTTAACATATGATCTTTAACATATAACAAAACGAAGTACATTTTGCAGTATTCAGTGTCTTTTAAATTCCTGCAAATTTGAGTTAACATATGATTTTGAGTTAACATATAATCTTTAACATATAACAAAACGGGGTACATTTGGCATTATTTTAAAAAAAAATTTGATTGCAGTAATCATTAAAACCTGTTATTTATATATATATACGTAACAAAACTCAGAATTGTAAATTTGCTTCTTTTTTTGGTTTATATTTTCAAATTTAAATGGAAAATACAACATTTGCAAACATCAAAAAATAAAACTACCAAAATCATTTTGAAATACCTTGCTGGACTGTTAGTGAATGACAGTGTATAGCATCCTGTAAAATCATGGCACCTGGTATACTGTCATTTTCAAGAAAAGTGGTATTTTTGTATCAATTTCCAACGCTGATCGACCGACCAGCGTTGGAAAAAACTGGCTTTTTTTCAAATACTGGCCCCAGTTGACCATCGCACTTGTTTGCAATCGATTACACACCTATGAACGGGTACAAGCCAGCTAGACTGGTTCCCTGACCTTAT